GGAAGAGCCTGGTACCAGCAGCGACGACGATGGCAATGGTGTGAGCGGTCTAGCACCTGGACTCCTCGCCTTAGTGGCGGCCATGTTGGTAGGAATTATTGCCGTTTAACTTCTTCACTGAGAATTTTCTTTTAAAAATCAAAATGCGATCTGAGATGTAGTTCCATAAATCAAAAACCAAAATGTCTTTTTTAAATTAACATTTTATTTTTCGATTGTATTTATTGTAACCACTAATCAACATGTGCTGCAACGCTTTTGTAAACTTTGGTTAGAACTCAGTTTAATAGAGTGAACTAATTCGCATATAGGATAACAAATGTTTCTGCTGCATTTACTGCTTCAACCTTTTGATGAAGTGAATTTTTTTTCTATTTTGTATTTTTTTATTTTATGAACAAATAAGATGTAGGCCTACATGTATTTGTGTTTTTCATGAAAACGTTTGTAACTGAGATTTTGTGCTTTTTGCTAAATAAAAAGATTAAAGTTAGGGTATAAATCCAAATGTGGTCTGAGATATAGTTCCAGATATAAAAATCCAAAATGTATTTTTTAGATTAATATTTTATTTTTCGATTGTATTTATTTTAACCGCTAATCAACATGTGCTGCAACGCGTTTGTAAACTTTGGTTAAAACTCAGTTTAATAGAGTGAACTAATTCGCATAGGATCCCGAATACATGCTGCATTTACTGCTTCAACCTTTTGATGAAGTGATTTTTTACCTGTTTTGTATTTCTATATTTTATGAACAAATAAAATGTACATGTACTTGTTTTTGTGTTTTCATGAAAACGTTGGTAACTTAGATTTTGTGCTTTTTGCTCGATAAAATAAATCTAATTGGGTACAAATCCAAATGTGGTCTGAGATATAGTTCCATAAATTAAAAAACCAAACTGTCTTTTTTAAACTAACATTTTATTTTTTGATTGTATTTATTTTAACCACTAATCAACATGTGCTGCAACGCGTTTGTAAATTTTGGTTAGAACTCAGTTTTATAGAGTGAACTAATTCGCATAGGATCACGAATATTTTGGCTGCATTTACTGCTTCAACCTTTTGGTGAAGTGACCTGTTTTGAATTTCTTTTTTTTATGAACAAATAAGATATACAATGTACATGTATTTGTGTTTTTTTATGAAAACGATTGTTACTTAGATTTTGTGCTTTTTGCTAAATAAAAATATTATAGTTTGGGTACGAAATAAATTATTTTGAGATTCTTGTATTTTGTGAACACGAACATGACTTGGTTGAATCACGTGTGTAGCCTACATAATTAACTACATAGATCATTATATTAAGCTGCTATCACTTAATCTACTTTATTTCCAAGTGAGGTATCACCTAATGGGCCCTATTTTTTAAAAATCTAGTTCCGAGACTAAACGATTCTGACTATCATTTCTGACGCAATAGGTCAGGCAGTCGCCATAGCTTTAATAAAACAAGACGCCCCTCTTTGCAAAGTTCGGTTTTGTTTCAGCTTTGGCTTTATTATTAAATAAGTGTGATGTTCCTTACGATCAAATAAAAGAGATATAGTATCACTTGTTTCCCACAGTTTGAAATTTCTGTAAGAAAACTTTGTCTAATATTGAGCTGGGATCTTCAAAGTTAGCCAATTAAATGTACAAATAGCACTGTTAGCAGGCGAAGCCAAAACGGAGACGACGCCGAATTTGGGAATAGCCCGTCGGCCCTCGTACTATCCGAGTGCACATCTCTTGATGCACAAAATCGTCATTGATTTTCAAGGTTTTTAAATGCAAGCAACGAATATAAACTGTCAACTCATTCAATATTTGTTTAATAAGCATGGCTGGCAAGTAAAACACACTTTATACCCGGTAATACCCGGGCGCTATATATCCAAGAGTGTCGACGCAGTTCGGACATTTTCGGAAACGGGAGGCATTCCTCCCGTTTCGGTCACGTGCCGTGGCGGACCTGACCTAAGGTTGCAGGCCACTGAATCGGGTCGAAATGGCCTACGCCGGCCAAATCACGATTTGCAAGCCCTCAAAATCTTCAGTATTTGAGCATGTTGTGGGCCATGAACTTGAGGGCTTGTAAAAAAAATAAATAAGGGTGGAAGCCGTGCACAGGACAGTGAGTTTGTACATGTAGTTCTGTGCAATTTGGATGAAATTGGGCCCTAAATGTGCTCTATTTTGCAATGGAGTATAGGCATCGTTTTTGGAAATGGCGACAGGCCTCAGGAATATTTTCAGGGGTGATCATTATTCGCATGGAAATTTCTCCTGAAAGTCATCAGTTAACCCCCGCAAAAATTGAAACAAAAAAATGAAAGATGACGTAATAAGCTTTAATTTGATATGTGTCTCGAACACTTTGGAGAACTGTGAGTATTTTCCCCGAATTTCTGAAGTGGGGGCATTTGTCATTGGGGTCTGTGGCAGTTTATTTACTGGTATGCAACCTTAGAAGCGGACACTAATGGACTCTCTCACACAGTAGGTGGCGCTCTTCATCCATGCCGACCAGAGCCGTATACGGACTGACGTGACTGACGCGTCCCCGCCTGGCTCGGTCTTAGTTATAGTGCAGTCGGCTGCAATTTGCCACTCTGCACCCCCCCCTTCCCCTCTGCTGCCCTGACATAATTTAGCCTTATTTTACTGTCATTCTTTCTTTTTTTAAATCTGGCTTTAAACATTAGGGAATATTCAGTTTTCAGACTGCAATTAAGTGGTAATACATTTACAAAATTAACTTCCCTAGAACTGTTATTGCATCTGTCTCCATACGTACGTTGGTTTCTATGTACATGTACTATCGTATTATCATTTTTACTTTTCCCTTCCCTACACTTCGAATATAACAAGCAAACAGATGCATTAATTCCCTTTTGACGAGTATTTACTTCTGTAATCTTTTATCCTCCAACAGATAAACAGAACGTTACAAAAGTTACCGTCTTTGAAAGTGTGTAAATCTTTTTTGTCATCCCCCGGGGATGGATCCAGATACTTTCTTAAGGAGATGACGTAACCTACTTTTATTAGGGTCAAAAAAAGTGTGACACAAATCTGTTCTGAAAGGAAGGCGAACAAAAAAGTCTTGCCCAAGTATAGGGGCATTCGATTTATAAGGACATGCTGACGCTAGGCAATGAGGCTTATAATACGGGTTTTTGTTTAGGGGGCATCAACATCTGCATTGGCAAGGGAAAACACATGAATGCGTACACACCCACATGTACCCCTCAATTTTTTGATGGCGGGGAAGGAGCCGTATATTCACCCCAGTTTTTGTCACAAGACCAGATGAGACTAAGGATGAAAGGAAAAAAAAAGAGAGAGATAAAGATTCTTATTACTACTTGTGATTGATTGTTATTCGTTGGTTAAAACATCACATGTCGAAGCCAAAAGGTCAGATTGCACATGATACACAAATAAAATAGGCATTAACAGAATGAAAAATGCACAAGTATAGCGGTATGACATTATTTAAGCGACTTAAAATAAAAAACCTCCCCCCCCAAAAAAAGGACTGTCCCCCAATGTTCATGTAAAACATTGCCGCTTCTGACTGCCATACACAAGTTGCCATATTAAGACATTAACAATCATTCTTCAAACATCGACGATATCCAAAAATCATGACAAAATACCCAAAGCTTATACTAAGGTGTTGAAGAAATATGCTTAAAGAGGTTGTAATTTAACGATGGCTACTTTTCTTTTTAGATTTGGTTTTGAGGCAGTTTCAAAAGTTCTTTCAAAGATGAAAACCCTAAACGTTGGCCAAACTTATCACCAGTTACAAAACAAATCGCTAAACAATATTGCAAAATTGAGAAATGTCCGGTCAAACCTTTTTTTCAAAAGGTCTATAAAAAACACACACCCTTAAATGTCTTGTTTAGAGCCTGGCCTCGACCCAAACCCCGGTTTGCTAAGACCGGATTAGGCCCCCTCCTCATGCAAACAAAACCCCTTGCCCAATTTAGGGAATGTGGGGTGAGCTTACGCTTGGTGGTAACGATTGCACGATGCATTGTGATAGTCCTATTCATGAACTTCCTGCGTCACTGGCCAACGTCTTAAGAAAGGTGCATCATTGATGTGCGTCAATCATGAGGAGCACTAAGAAAAACCTCCCCAATAAACTGTAACCGCGAAGACGTCATCGTGAGGTGACCGAGCATTTTCTTAATCCCGAAAAACGGATAAAAAGGGTCGCACTAAACAGCGTCAACACAGCGTCAACACAGCGTCAACACATGACAGAAGCGTCAACACACCGTCAACACATCCAAAACACATTCTGAATTGACAAAAAGGGCATATAATTGTGAAACATACAATAAAAGAGAATTTCCATTGGATTGAGTTTCCATTTCGTTGTTAAAAATATCGTATTTTCACGCGAAAAAAATGACCTTAACTTGCACGGCCGTTGTCCGCCATCTTGACTTCGCACAAAGCTTGGACTACACCATTTCAAGTAGGGGTGTGTAGGTAATGACATTATCTTGTCATAAACAACAGAGGGCGCCTTGCTGCAGACTAAACAGAGGGATACCCATAATAGATCTGTGCATGGAGGCGCCATGATCTGTGTGAGGACTAAGGATCGGAGGAGTGGTGGATCATTATTTTGTGAGTTGTGTTTATGTTTTGGCCGCGTCCCTCTCTGTTGGTTTATTGTACAACGCTATCACCCTTTAGAATAATGGTATGGTCCGCACTGCCACTGAGGCAACATGGCGGGTAGCCGATTTCGGAGCGGCACGGAGAGCCAATTTTCTTGAACTGAAAATCGCGATTTTCAGACGTTTAACCTATTGATTTTAAGCACAAATCTTGTTTCTGTCCATACTGTATGGGTTACATACTGCTTTTGTCAATTTTAATGCCTTTTGGATGTGTTGACGCTGTGTTGACGCTGTGTTGACGCTTTGGAGTGTGTTGACGCTGTGTTGACGCTGTTTAGTATGACCGGATAAAAAGGGGAAGACGAAAGAGTCAGTAGTCAGATGCTCCTTGTCTCCTGAACTTAGATAAAATATCCTGAGAACTTATATTTTTTTAAGTGGCAATAGAAGTTTAACTTGAACAGTTTACTCCGAGGCTCTAGCGGAGAACGGGTGAAACGATGACGGGTAAAACGCTGCTTTTATCGGTGCTGCTGGTCGGTGCCGTCACGGTGATTCACTCCTTCAAAATGGAGACATCTGCCGATGCTATGGTGAGTAAGATCTTGTTATATGATTTGTTGGAATGTACACAATCTTGACAGCACTGTGGTGGTTGTGGAGGAAGTCTATGAAAACTCTTGAATTTGTTTGACTGTTTTTTTTTTGACAAAATTGAAAATGATTGTTAATGCCCATGAATCGTGTATTTTTTTTTACGACATAATCAATTGCAACGACTGACCAGGTTATTTGAAAAAGTTGAATAATAACTACATCTTACCATTGCATTACCTCAAGTGAAACTTTAAAAATAAATTACTCAGTTCTCCTGGACTTAAAGGCATCATCTGCTCGACTATCCTTCCAAAAAGTTATTTAAATTCTTTCCTTCTGTATTCGCAAATATCTGCTTCCATAAACAAGGGAATATTCTGTGTGTTCACCACTTCCCCTCCCCCTATGAATACATCTGCCGCGGTGACCTTGCAATGTTCGCTACCGAAGTGCTGTAAAATCCTAACTCTGTCATTATTTGGCGCGTAATAGCACTATGCCAGATTTCATTGGAAAAAAAAATGCAAATCATTTTTCAAAACATTTCGTGCCAGGATTCATTTACACAATTCCACGTGATACACAGTAATATGATATCATATGTAATGACATGATTCTTGGATGTGCGCATTGATACTTTTGAAGAAATCTCCCTTCCACTTTTAAAGATATTTTCCTCCATATTTTTTTGACCTGAAGTTCCAATTGTATTCAGACCCCAGCTGTTCTTCACATATATACCTTTGTACAGAAACGAAGAAATGAAATTGATTGAGGTACTCTTAGGCCTAGGTTTGTGACATTGTGCTCCGCACAATTCTTGTTAAATATTCGACACCAATATGATGTGATACCAATATTCGACACGACGCGTGATTGGGACATGTCATTCAATCTTCTTTTAGATGCGATATTTCAAATGCTCCTCTGTGTCTCATTTTACCTTATTTTCCATCTTTGTATTCATTTTTCATGAGCATTTTGGTGCCTCAGTTTTGGTTGCTATGGTAATGCGAATTTTCCATATTCATGAGCAAATTTGTGACGTCACTGTAGGCAAAAACTTCAGCGTTACAGCACTTCAACATCACAATGCGCAAAAAACTAAACTTGGTGCTTTTACCCTGCGTGGTTAATGCTATGCTTTGGTGATTTTATTGTTGTTTCATAACATGACAGTGAAGTAAATGAGGAAACTTTGTGTGAAAATGTTTTCCTTTGAGGAAAAGTTTGGGTTCCGAAATTTGGTGCTTTTGCCCTGCGTGGTAAATGTGATGTTTTCGGTGATTTTATTGTTGTTTCATAACATGACAGTGAAGTAAATGAGGAAACTTCATGTAAAAATGTTTTTCTTTGAGAACAAGTTTGGGTTCCCAATTTACACAGAAAATCCCTAAACTGAAGAGTGTGTGTCTAAACTGACGTCACAGCAACAGCGCCCTCATGTTGTTTGGAAAAGCATGAATCATATACAATAAGTGCACTTTACACAAATCTTAATAAAAAGGGATGTCTCTTCGATTCAGATCAATTCAGAGGAATGAATATTTGCAACAAAATATGTGAATGTGTAGAATTCAGTTATGAGCTTGAGACATCGCACGCAAAAAAATCGGCCCACGACAAGTAATTCAGTTAATAGCAATAGTGCGCGCAATTTCTGGAGCGTGCCATTAAAAATAACTTTTAAAACTGTACAAAGGCCTGCAAAAACGAACAAGCAGTTTTTTTTACAGGACATTAGATTCCTTTAAATGTCTTTCAGAACAGAACATCGAACATTTAAAAAGTACCAACTTTAACGAGTTATAATGACGTAATTGTGTTTCGTGATAAAAAGTTGTGCATGTTATTTCACTGTTTTCTCAAAAGCGTATTCATTGAGCTGAAACTTCAATAGGCAATGCTTTGAACATTCTTCCTGGGACTTTGAGTGGTGTCATTAATGGGAAAGAACAAAATGATCTGAACAGCAAATGATCCTTATAATGACTTTAAACGTACATTTCAATTCTTTTCCAGATGTACCTTGCCTACTACGGCTATTTGAAACCTCTGACTTCCGATGACGGAACTTTCATGACCGAAGCTGAGATGAAGGAGGGCATCTCTAAATTCCAGTACATGGCCAACGTAACAATCACAGGTAAGCATGTCCACCACCTAACAATTCTGCTAAATGCGCATCAAAAATCTGTCGGATTCATCAAAAATCTGCCAAAATTCCCCAGAATTACTCGAAATACACTTTAAACACTTAAAATCACATGCAGGTTGGTAGTATTGCCTTAATTGAAGATTCAAATTACGTAATAAACAATCTAGTCACATAAAGATGTTGTGAAATTATTGGTCAATTTGGGGCAAAATGCGGATCCGGCCACGATGAAGTCCGTTTCCCAGTGAACCCTCAGCGCCTAGACCAGCTAACCTGTCCCATTATGCAAGTTTTTTTTTTGAAAGGAATTCTTTTTGAAGAAATGGACACTTTTTTGGTTCAAATTCGCTGTTTTCTGTCAAATAACCATTTTTGCAGAATTCTGCCAGAAATCTGACAAAAATCCATTCTGTCAAATTTTCTGTCAAACTCGTATTTTAACAAAAATTCTGTCAAACTTAGCCGAAAATCGGCTAAAACAGTCACCCTGCCACATTCATGCCCAAAGCCCACTGAATGTATTATCGTGATGCATCTAATCTATAATTGGTAGTCATTAGGCAGTCTCATTTTTGTTTCGTACAATGATGGTTGTGGTATATGTTGGGCTTCACACCAAAACGAATTGTTATTTTTCAAAATTCATTTGCCACTTTTGCCAATTATAGGTCGCTGTTGATTTGACAAAAATATGTTATTTAAAATGAAAGAAAGTCGAATCCTTGTGATGCGGTTTTTACAAAACAATCTTTTGAAAATCCCCATACCTTTAAGTAGAGTGAGTTGAGGGCTACACCATTTTTAGTCAAAATTCCCATTTTTCAAGTCACTTCTTGATACAACATTATATGTTGAAGCTTTACTTTTTTGAGAGCCTTAATTATCATGTACACACTCTAAAAACTCTTGTGTCAAAAAGCCTGAATCAATGCGTCAAAAAGTCATGTTTTTTTCTACTCGGAAAAGAACTGAGCAAATTTCGATTCAGATTCCGGGTTACTATATAACACAGGAGTTTTTTTTTTTTTTAGAGTGGACGGAAATAAATGCTCGTGCTGAGGATGGACGAGTCTGTGAACACGGGCGATTCTGAGAAATTCTTTCAACACATTCTTGTATAATATTTTGTGGACAGGTGAAATCGACAATGCAACACTCACGATGATGAACATGCCCCGCTGTGGCTGTCCGGACGTGATTGGCCACAGCCTGGACGCCAAACGGAGGAAACGCTACTCCCTCGGAAGTCGATGGTCCAAGACAGACTTGACCTTTCGTATCGACTCCGTGACCTCGGACATATCGAGCCGAGAGGACATAGACAGCACCCTGACCGAAGCTCTACAGGTAATGATGATCATTAGTAAAACAAATGTCAAATGCAGCAAATAAGGTTTGGGGCATTGTCAGTTTTCACATGGGAAAGTTGGGATGAAATTCTATGTGCACACAACGTGGCACTAGGGGGAGCTGTTAATGATACAACTACCATGTATACAATATATCAAGACGGTACATTTCAAACTTTAGTGCAGTTCGTTCACAGTTGTCACCCTTGCTGCAAAGATCGCAATCGGCAGTCATCGTAATCAATCAAAATTCATTCACAAATCTCAAATCAGTTGACAAGGTATTCAAATGAACGACGACGAATGACAGTTTCTTCATTGTCCATCCACGGCCAGTTGTGGCCGACACGCGGACTCCACAGTCGTGATTCACTGTGGTTTTTGTTTTGGTTCTCTGTCTTGATATCCTACAGGTTTGGTCTGATGTTACGCCGCTGACCTTCACACGCGTTTACGCCCCAACCGAAGCCGACATCGTCATTAACTTCTTCAGCAGAGATCACAGCGATGGTGCACCGTTCGACGGGCCGGGAGGGGTTCTAGCTCACGCTTTTTTCCCCGAGAACGGGAGGGCTCATTTTGACGAGGATGAAAACTGGACCATCGAGACTTACTCGGGTAAGCTATAACTCAGCTATTTTACCGTCTTGTCACCTCTGCTGATCATTGGGAAAATGAAGCATTCAGAATCCAAAGTTATGCCCGAAACAGTTTAAATCAATCACAGTAACCATCAGTACCGGTACCTCACGGGTGCCCATGAACCCCCGGGCGGGGAGAAGCAAGGCGTGACAACGTGTCTTGCCCAAGGGCACACGCACTGATCAAGCTGGCCTGAAGCTCACAACTTGCAGCATGCATTACCTACATAACTTCATCCAGACCACGAGACCACGGCATTTCCATGATACATGTATACTGACATGGAGATCGATGTCCAGTGGCGTGCATCTTCAATTTACTTTAATCATTTTGGGTAAAACTGCAGCATTTACAACGTCTTCGTCTACTGTGAGAGATCATCACGGTGACGGCTTCGTCCACAAATTAATGTGCTTGGCGGTTCAAAGCATCAATACTTATCCGTTAATGTTAACCTTCTCCTTTGTTTTGTTGTTCGCAGGAATCAATCTCTTCCAGGTGGCTGCGCACGAGTTCGGCCATAACTTGGGCTTGGGTCACTCCAACATCGACGATGCACTCATGGCGCCATTCTATCGGGGATATGTGCCCAACTTTCAGCTGCATGAAGATGACATCGCCGGAATCCAGGCCCACTACGGTCAGTATATACACACTGCACTGTACTCTGTTGATGTTTTACATCAACGTAAAATGCCCTTTTAGATTTCCTGTATAACCTGAACATAGACAAACAAATCATCAACACTTTACAAGGATGAACGGTGATGGTATAACGGGTGAGGTGTCGTGTAACGTACAATATAGAGAATACCATATCGATCTCCACCTATTGGAAAAGGTGCACACAGGCAAACTTGTGTTCACCGTCGATCGCGGACGTCCTATTGTTCCTCTTTCGTTTGTACTAACTTTTTGGAAGACTCCCATAGGAAAACTCCCATGCCCTTCTGTATAGGCAATTCTCAATTAGGCTTACTTCAAATGAAATGGTATGCAACTGGAGCATACCTTATTGGCTTACTAGCCGATGGGAATGTCATATTTCTCACAATTTAATGATCTTTGCCAAAAGTTCATGCATGAACAAAACATTTTAAGTGAAGACAAGTTATGGACAATAGACGAGAGATTCGCACGGCATCTAGTACTGTTGAGGGTTGGTGATACTTTATTAAATATTGAAACGAATCTAATTAATTGATGATTTTCTTATATACAGGAGAAGATTCGGGGAGTCCGTTTGTGACCATGAAGCCCGAACCAACCATCTGCACCGGGAATGTTGATGCCGTCACCACGACTCGCGACAGAAGCACGTACATCTTTGAAGGTCAGTAATACATGTAGATGAAAAATTTTAAGGGAAGATACTACATTTGCAAACATCAAACAATGAAATGATCGAATTATCACTAAATACCTTATTGGATTGTTAAGGACTGACAGTCTTAAGCATCCTGTAGAATCGTGACTCCTGGTGTGCTGGCATTCTCAAGAAATCTTTTTTTCCTTTTGAAAAGTGGCCTTTCATCAAAAACTGCTTCTTATGTTAGTTATTCCGATTTTCTTTACAATTGATTATACACCTGTGAAGGGTTACAAGCCCGCCAGATATTCTGTGACCTTACATTTCCCGAAAGCTGGTATAAGTTGATCCGTTTCATCTTAAGTGGGGTCAGGGAGCCAGACTACAAGACAACAATTTGTTTTCTTGGTTTATCCAGCATCTACAAGCCCAAAATGTGAATCAAGTCAGTTTAACAATGTTTGCTATAGCATACTAATCTTCTAAATCCAAATGTTGTACATGTTCATAAGAGCCTAATATCCCATGACATTTCCCCTTAAAATCTTAAATTACAGCGAGGCACACCCCTTTGTGTCTTTTCCATGACTTGTCTGTTCTTTAAAGAAACCTTTTGGTATGGATACAAAAGTCGCAGCAAAATGCTTACATTTTGTGGGCTGGTTATTCGAATATTCAATTGACCAGCCTGACCTCCTTGGTTTTCAAACTGCATGTTGTACTTACAATAAATAATTCATCAATGCTAACCCATGTTTCTCTTCTATCCTTTTGACAGGAACTCAAGTTTGGAAATTTGAAAGTCAGACAAGCCGGATATCAGATGGATTCCCTAAGCCAATCGGCGATGTATTTTCTGGTCTTCCCGACAACGTGGATGCTGCACTGTACTACAGTCGCTCCGGCAAGACCTACATTTTTAAGGTAGGCCTCATGTGATCTTAAACCAAAAAAATCACCAACTGAACAATGTCATCGTAAATATCAACACCTTAAACAACAGTTTTTTTCTTTTTGTGGTGTTCTTGGGGTGTTTGAAGGATGGATTGGACGAACCTGGATTGAGTTGCCACAAATTGCTTGAAGTCACTGTGTTTAAAAAAAAATCACATGCGAACAAGGAAGAGTTTTCTCAGTCTTTACTTTTTTCAAAAAGTACATTATTCAGGAATGTTCATCTGGTCTTGTTTGCCTAATTAGTAGTTTCGTTAAGAAATGCTTTTTCCTGAAAATAGTCTTTTTACACTACAATTTTGTTCTTTTCTGAAACCCAAAGGGAAGTCAGTACTGGCGAGTTGACAACGAAGTGGTGGACGCCGGGTACCCGCTAGACATTGGTTCCAACTGGTACGGCCTGCCTGACGATCTGGATGCGGCTTTTACTTGGAGTGGAAACGGTCGTATTTACTTCGTCAAAGGTACGTTTATTGCTCAAGATAGTTATCGTTTACCTCATGGACGATATCAGGGGCCAATTTCAGGGCGCTGCTCAGCACAAAACTTTGCTTAGCACAAAAAAGTCTGGTTTATAAAAGCAGGTTACCAGCCAAAACTCCATGTGATTTTTATGCTAAGCAAACAACAGCTGAATACTGATCACGAGCAATATACATCACGTGGAGTTTTGGCTGGTTACCTGCTTTTATAAGCCAGACTATTTTTGTGCTAAGCACATTTTTGTGCTAAGCAGCGCCGTGAAATTGGGCCTAGGTCTTCTTTCGTTGCAAGAAACTCCCGGCTCTGAAAGCTTACAGGAACTTACACTACTGTGCACATCGCAAGTACATGAATCATCCATGGAGCTATGAATGAAGGATAGAAAAAATACATGGTTTATCTTTATAGTATTTACGAAACATGAAATATGCAGCGGAATTATACTGTTGTGCTGCATTGTGGGGCTTTGTGTGCTCAACAAGCCTCCCCGTTCGTTAGCGTACACTACCCCACAGTGGAATGAATAGACATTGTAGCCTATACTTCTGATTTCTTTAGAAGTTTGTTTCCGTTTAAGGTTTTTCAAACACATACTTTGGAATTCGTATATATAAATACACTGCATTAAATGCAAGTGTACATGTAATGTTAAAGCTGTCGGCAGCTGCCATGCAAGTTGAGCCTTTTCTGCATGCTCTGTACGCCAGACAGTATCGATCGCTACACAATGTAATCTTGAACACCCCTGAAATGCTTATCTCTGTTGAGTTGTGTGGTTTAAGTGGAGGCTCGGAGTTTATATTGAAGTTCAAGTCGATGACATTCATTTCATATTTGTGACCTACTGAGGCATAATGAGGTATGTCTCCCAAAACCTTGTTTTAAGTAATCGATGCCTGAAGTCGGATCCTATACTAGAAAAATCATGTGAAAATCGAATTTTGATTGTTTGTTTTTTTGAGTAGCCAAACTGAAGAACGTTTTTCACTGCCGATAGCGGCGCAATGCGTGTCTTTTTTTCAAAGCTGTTTTTCTCGAAATTACGTTAGAGAAACTTGGCAGGACACTGTTGAAGTTCCTGCGTCACACTTTGGAATCAATTAAGCTACAGAAATAAATTTGGCTATCATTGGAAAGCCAATGATTTGCACCTTAACATGATGTACATAACGTGAACAGTCAGCGGTGGGGGTTATTCCTCATTATGCTATGGCAGGTCACATTTTTATTTTTTTTTTACAATGGGAGACTTTTGAAACGTTGGTGTCTGCAAACACACCGGTCCTTTTCAATTGTTTACGTCATGTTTAAACTGAAGTGCGCATGCTCAATATGACGCAGACAATGAAAACAGACCTTATAGTGTTTGCTGCCACCAACGCCTCAAAAGTCTCCCATTGGTACGACATAGACTCCTCAATATATTCCCACATTTCATTACGCAATCCATTTCCCCCCTCACCCAGGTGATCAGTATTACCGCTTCAATGGCCGCGTGGATTATGGCTATCCTCGTCCACTGAGTGTCTGGAACATCCCTGGTAACCAAGTCGGGGCGGCCGTTCAGTGGCTCAACAGTCGCACCTATTTCTTCGCCCCTTCTTCAGACGGCTACTTCCGATTCAACGATAGAAACTTCCGCGTGGACGCTGGATACCCGCAAAGCACAGCCACAACGTGGCAGGGATGCAACACCAATCTCGTGGAAGAGCCTGGTACCAGCAGCGACGACGATGGCAATGGTGTGAGCGGTCTAGCACCTGGATTCCTCGCCTTAGTGGCGGCCATGTTGTTAGGAATTATTGCCGTTTAATTTCTTGACACTGAGACTTTTCCTATAAAAATCCAAATGCTGTCTGAGATATAGTTCCATAAATTAAAAACCAATATGTCTTTTTTAAATTAACATTTTATTTTCGATTGTATTTATTTTAACCACTAATGAACATGTGCTGCAACGCGTTTGTAAACTTTGGTTAGAACTCAGTTTAATAGAGTGAACTAATTCGCATAGGATTACGAATGTTTTTGCTGCATTTACTGCTTCAACCTTTTGATGACGTGACTTTTTTTACCTGTTTTCATTTTCTTTATTTTATGAACAAATAAGATGTACATGTATATGTGTTTTTCATAAAAAAAGGTTGTAACTCAATTAGATTTTGTGCTTTTCGCTCAATAAAAAAATTATAATTTGGGTACAATTCCAAATGTGGTCTGAGATATAGTTCCATAAATTAAAAACCAAAATGTCTTTTTTAAATTAACATTTTATTTTTCGATTGTATTTATTTTAACCACTAATAAACATGTGCTGCAACGCGTTTGTGAACTTTGGTTAGATCTTAGTTTAATAGAGTGAACTAATTCGCATAGGATCACGAAAGTTTCTGCTGCATTTACTGCTTCAATTAACCTTTTGATGAAGTGATTGTTAACCTGTTTTGTATTTCTATATTTTATGAACAAATAAGATGTACATGTACTTGTTTTTGTGTTTTTCATGAAAACGTTTGTAACTTAGATTTTGTGCTTTTTGCTAAATACATGTACAATTTTTGTTAGTTTGGGTACAAATCCAAATGTGTTCTGAGATATATAGTTCCGTAAATCAACAACCAAAATGTCTTTTTTAAATTAACATTATATTTTCGATTGTAATTTGAACCACTGATCAGCATGTGCTGCAACGCGTTTGTAAATTTTGGTTAGAACTCAGTTTAATAGAGTGAACTAATTCGCATAGGATCACGAATATTTTTGCTGCATTTACTGCTTCAACCTTTTGATGAAGTGACTTTAACTGTTTCGTAATTCTTTTAATATTTTATGAACAAATAGGATGTACATGTATTTGTGTTTTTCATGAAAACGTTTGTAACTTAGATTTTTATGCTTTTTGCTAAATAAAAAAAATTATACTTTGTGTACAATAAATATTATCTTGAGATTCTTGTATTTTGTGAACACGAACATGACTTGTGTGCAGCCTACATTATTAGCTACCAAGATCATTATATTAAGCTGCGATCATTAAATCTACTTTATTTCCAAGTAAGGTACATCAACAAAATGGGCCGTATTTTTTGATAATCTAGTTCCGAGACCAAACGATTCTGACTATCATTTCTGACGCAATAGGTCAGGCAGTCGCCATAGCTATAATAAAACAAGATGCCCCCCTTAACAAAGATCGGTTTTGTTTCAGTTTTGGCTTTATTATTAAATGCGTGTAATACTTCCGATCAAATAAAAGAGAAATAAAATCACTTGTTTCATATATCCCACAGTTTGAAATTTCTGTAAAAATTCTTTATCTAATATTGAGCTGGGATCTTCAAAGTTAGCCAATTAAATGCACAAATAGCACTGTTAGCAGGCGAAGCCAAAACGGAGACGACGCCGAATTTGGGAATAGCCCGTCGGCCCTCGTACTATTGATGCACACAATCGTCATTGATTTTCAAGGTTTTTAAATGCAAGCAACGAATATAAATTGTCAACTCATTCAATATTTGTTTAATAAGCATGGCTGGCAAATAAAACACACTTTATACCCGGTAATATACCCGGGCGCTATATATCCAAGAGTGTTGACTCAGTGCATTCGGTGCAACTTCGGACATTTTCGGAAACGGGAGGCATTCTTCCCGTTTTGGTCACGTGCCGTGGTGAGTTGACACTTTGGAGAGTTGTAAGCAAGGCATGGCAGCAACCATTTTTCAGGGCTTATCGAAATACTGCATCGTCACGCACACATTTCATAAAGTGTGACATTTTTTAAAGTTTGTATATAGGGCCTGAGTGCTTTTTCAAAATTTCGATTTATTTTTCGAACGAAATCTAAAGGACTATAATTTGCCTGTTTGCTTTTGCAGGCTTTTACACAGTTCTAAAAGTTGGTTTTAAATGGCGCGCTTCAGTTCAAAAATTAAGCACACAATTCAGAATGAATTAGGATCGTCCCGCTCTTAAGTCGAAAGTTGAAATTTATCAATTGAATGCTTGACAAGGGCAGAGTTTTTTTCGTGCGATTTCTCATTTGAAAGCTCAAAGTCATTTTTTCCATAAAAATTCCTTTAAAATAATGCGAATCCCACCCCCCCCCCCCAGTTTAAAAGGTTATATCTTCGGGCAGTCGAATTTGTTAGTCTTAAGGAGACCAGCAGGCCCGGATTAAGTGTTTCACATATGCACTAGGCACCAGTGTTCCGAAGAATGGAGAAGGAAGGGGAAAGGAAAAGGGAATGAGAACAAAGTGGAGAATGTAACTAATAAACACCGCTGCTTAAAACTCCGCGAAGCTAAAATCAGGTTCTGCAATCCATGGCAAAAGATTGTACATTCTGTCATGTCGGCACACAAGCTGCCGCGCAAAGTCGCTTCATATACGGGGGTTGACATGCAGCTACAGCTGTGCAAAACACAAGCACGTGCCCGCTCGTAGTCTGTTACGAATTGAGCTGATTCTTATTAGTGACGACTCAAAATAACAAGGCCATATTTCTATAGAGAGTCAAGCTACAATTTTGATATTTATGCCAGAGCCATCTGCAATCCAAAACTTTCCCGGGGCTCTTAAGCGTCCCCGGACCCCACGCCTTCAGGGCTTCGCGCTCCGCGCTCGCAAATAAAAATTCCACTACATAGGATTTAAAGACACCCCCTACAGTCTGGGATCGGGGAACAGGCCTGAACAATAATGCGCAAAGGTACCGAGCATGTACATACAGTTTTGCGACAATGAAATGGAAACATAACACATGTAGCTGAATTGAATTTTGTATTTTGGAGCAATTTTAAAGATTATGATTTCGAACGATTAGCCTACAGTACTAGCTCTCAATTTAACAAATTAATCATTCTTGCAATTGTCCTCCAAAAGAAAAGAAAGAAAATAAAACAAAAAGTTATGTGGCGATGGCCAAGTCTTCAGGAGTCGGACTTATGACCCTAACTCAATGAGCCCCTTACCGACTTCCATATAGAACTCTTCCGGGACTCGGTACCCGGCCCACCACACCTCCTTCCCTGTCCATCCATGTAACTCGAAAGTCAGGCACCATAAAGGGAGGAAACGAGGTGGCACCCTAAGCCTTGCTGCCGAGTCAGCAAAAGAACCCCGTACCTATACGCAGACGCCAACCTGGACTTCGCAGACAGTCCCAACTTGTGAGTCAGCTTACCGACCGACCGAGCTAACTGCTGTTGGTAAATGACGACGAGAAATTAATACTCTTAAACGACAGAACCGCAGGCATGGCATCGAAAACCAAAAAATGACGCCAAGCGGGTTCGAACCCCTAACCCTGGGTCCGCTGTCAGACAGCTTAACCACTAGGCTGTTGCAGTAGGTGCTTTTCTCTTTGCGTTTTAAACATAATCTTTATTTCCGCAGTGGGAGAGTTTCTTTGTGTTTCATAGCTGCACGAAAGATGCATCAGTATCGCGCTATACACATGAATGCTGTTACGTAACTCTTTTCTACAATAATTCTTCGACTCTATTCAGAGTCACTACGAGCAATTAACCTTACCAAGCTCGTTCTTATTCTGTCTCATCAATTGTTTCGCGTTGCGCGTCTTTCGGCCGGCACTGACATCGCGCTGATGGAGTGAAATTCTAGCAAGTTCCCCTAACTCATATTTTTATATCAAACTAATGGCCCGTTCTACGAGGGAATTATGTTTGTCCGATTCTAATTCACCTGGAGTCAGCAACTTTTGATTTGAAATCGAAATATACAATCGGAATATACAGCTCAAGCCGAGCTAAAACATCTTCACGTTAGTTGTTCAGCACCCTTATTTATTTTGAGTACTTTTGTTGCTTCAAACGAACAAAATGCACAAATTACAAATGAAGGATTGTACTTTTAAGCTTATCATTGATATCGTAAATATTTTTTTGGAAATTGTTATCCACTTTTCAGCTGTAACATCAATGCTTTGAGAAACAAACTTTGCTGGTCTTTATCAGATGATTAACATTTAGCAACATGTGGACATTATAGTAGTTTGTAATGAGACAGCGTAGAATTAAACACATCCAACAAAGTTCCAATCTCTAGGTTTATTACATAGATTATTTATTTCTGAGTATTCAAAATTAAAAATGAATAATACGGTTACGAGATCACATGTTTTTAATTGACTAGAATACAGTTGACAATATGTTAACAAATCAAAAGATGGCTTAAAGTTTTCACTCGCCAGTCACCAATATTACTGATTGATGCACTTGTATCTAGCAATGTATAATAGAACTACAAAGTGTAATTCTTACAGTTGGATAGATAACACAAAGTATGCCCCCAAACAGGCAACATTCAGGAAAGAATTAATTTAAATTGTTTAATGTTTTTTACTTCAATGAAATCATAAATTACATTAAAGCCTGACCGTTTCTCAATCCACTCCTTTTTACGCCATTCCGTCTGGGTCCCTAGATCCAGAAATACAATCAAAGTGAAAAGGTGTACATTTTACTTGGGTCACTCTCACCTGGTCATGCTGAATCTGGGTTAAAGGAAACATGCAGTGGAAATTTAGCTCATCTTGTTTTCATGTTTATTACTATGTGTTGCAACAATACATTCAAAATCTTAATACTTGTTTTCATTGGAAGTGACAAGAAAGTGGTCCCCTTTCAATTACATGTATTAACATATCCATAGCCCGCTTGAGGGCCCCAAATTTCGGTTGGATTCGAGATGCTCTGTAGTGCGATCTGAGGCAATTCCTGACCACTTTAACCAATATTTTTGAGGACTAAGATTGTAGTGTACTCATTGCCTGCCTTTATTGCGACCTCACATACCACCAAAACAAATGTTTATTTTTTTGGGGGGGGGGGGGCATGGCCCCCTTTGGCCCCCCTGAATCCATCCTTGTATTTTTGTATTGTCACACAAGGAACTTCTTGTCAAAATTGCATATGAACAGTACAAAAATTGGTCCTTCAAAATTACCCCCCCCCAAAAAAAAGTGGTGAAAAAATATTGGCAACTACTATCGTCCAAACAAGTTTTTTGACATGATAAACAATTAAAAAGTGGAACTTACACCAAGAAAATGAAGAAAAGTTTGACACTACACAAAACTATGGAGATACTGTTTTGCCTGAGTATACAACAAATAAAACATTAGATTAAACAAATTACTTTCATGTTTTAATTACAATTGTCATGTTTTGTTAATATGGATTCAGTCTAATGACAAGTGAATCATCGGAGGTCACATTTTAATCATGCCAAAATTAGCCTTTCTGCAAAAGACAATTTTTTTTTTACCTTGATCTTTATAGGGATGGGGTCCCTAAACTGTGTCCACTTAACATGTACTGAGTAGAAAAAAATATAATAACAATAATATGCACGACACGGCAAACGTACTATTTTTATAGGGATGGGGTCCCTAAACTGTGTCCACTATTGACATGTACTGAGTAGAAAAAAATATAACAATAATATGCCCGACACGGCAAACCTAGTATCTTTGTAAGGATGGGGTCCCTAAACTGTGTCCACTTAAACATGTACTGAGTAGAAAAAATATAATAACAATAATATGCACGACATGGCAAACCTAGTGTCTTTATAGGGATGGGGTCCCTAAACTGTGTCCACTTAAACATGGACTGAGTAGAACAAAATAATAACAAGCACGACATGGCAAACCTAATATCTTTGTAGGGATGGGGTCGCTAAACTGTGTCCACTTAAACATGTACTGAGTAGAAAAAATATAATAACAATAATATGCACGACATGGCAAACCTAGTATCTTTGTAGGGATGTGGTCCCTAAACTGTGTCCACTTAAACATGTACTGAGTAGAAAAATTACAATAGCAATAATATGCACGACACGGCAAACCTAGTAAAGCTGGTCCTGAGGCCACAGAATTACATTCAATTGAACCAGAATGGCTCTATCCATGCATCTGGAGCAAGGCAGATTGGGCTCATTTATTGGTATAAGTGGGTAATCCTATATAATAGCACTGCCCGACTCACAAGTGACGGTGAGTGAGTCCATCCAGTACAAAGAGGACTGTAGGATGGACCTCAACGGAACCAGCAAAATTAACAATTAAAAGTGATGAAAATAGACTATTCAAAGCTTTCTTCTTCCGACAGATTACAAGGGAATCCAAATCTTTACAATCTGTCTCTCAGAACTGTGTACGGTACATGGTCAATCTAGCAGACATGAGGATTGCGATCCACGCGTCCAGCGGCGTCATTCTGTAAGACAAGGAAATGGAAATGGTTATGACGAGTTTCCTCTAGGTTTTGTTTTTGCCCGATATTATAAAACGGTTGAACTGTGGTGTAAAAATAACCAAAGATTCTGGCTGAACTAACCCAGATCAAGCTGTTGAAAATACAAGAAGTCATACCTTTCAATATTTCTAATGATGCATCAATTGCAAGCAAATTTGCACCTTTAAAGCCTTTATACTGTATTTGAGTGATTTACATAAATCATTCACAGAGTTTAAGTCGAAATCTGCCTTTTTAAATAGGCATTGTTAAATCAGGTATTCTGAAATCATCTGTCACCATTAGTCAGGTTTTCACAATTGACACTTTTTGTTTTGGAAGCATTTTTATGAGGGGGGGGGGGGTTCTAATTACTATAGATAATTTTACATTTTCTGTATGCAGTAGGCCTATGCCATAAATATAAGGAAGAATTTCACAGTCCTATCACAGTTCTGATTAATGTCCAATATTCAAATAAGTCTGCATGGTGGAAAATCGCCCTTATTCGCAGCAGAAGCTGAACTGCAAATTAAGGACGCGGGTACAACGTGGTCGAGCCGGTGGCGTGTAAAGCCGCCTTAGGCAGCCACCATACCACTCCATGTGATATCACGGAGCACAGCCAGGTCGAAGTGTTTGATTTTGTCGCAGGGAGGAAAACCGGTGAACCCGTACAAAAAAACCCCTTGTGGTACAGGACAATCAACGAACAGCTCCTCTTTCCTCATTGTGACTTGGGCCCAATTTCACGGCGCTGCTTAGCACAAAAATTTGCTTAGCACAAAAAAAGTCTGGCTTATAAAAGCAGGTTACCAGCCAAAACTCCATGTGATTTTCATGCTAAGCAAACAACAGCTGAATACTTAAAACAGGCAAAATATACATCACGTGGAGTTTTGGCTGGTAACCTGCTTTTATAAGCCAGACTTTTTTGTGCTAAGCATATTTTTGTGCTTAGCAGCGCCGTGAAATTGGCCCCTGAGCCAGAAATGGAACCAGGCGACAGATGAGATGAGATCTACCGGCGAGCGCTCTACGCACTACGCCACCCACGCCATCCATGTGTTGTTGCCCACGCGCGCAGTGATCCAGCTGGCCCAATGACCGGTCTACTGGCAAAGTTATGTACTTTACTTACATGCTGTATTGTCACTGCGATTCTCCATGCCTGACACCATATGAGGCCTAACAAACGCTTCACGGCTTGCCAAACCCTGTGAATGAAAGAAAGAGGCATGCAGTCAGGATGACCAACAGGTCATGGCTACATTCTGCTAAATGCACTTCGAAAATCTGTCAGATTCATCAAAAATCTGCCAAAATGAAATTCCCATGAATTACTAGAAATACACTTTTAAATAGATCCATTAAAGGGAATGTACATCATTGGCTTATGCTTTAATTTTAAGAAATGAACTATTTGAGGGGTTAGTATAATAAATCAAATTATTGTTACACTGACATGTTTGAAGTTTTGTTTTCGAAAATGCTGGAAAAACCAAGAACAACAAAAATGTTCAAGTAGTCTGGTTCCCTGACTCCACTGAAGATGAAATGGATCAATTTACAGATGCCGGAAAATTGTACGCCAAGGGAACCAGTCTAGCTGACCTGCACCCATTCATGAACATATAACCAATTAGCAAACAAAATTGGACTGAAAAAATGGTAAATTTGGAGCAGTAGTGAAAAATAGTTAGGTTTTTCCTACGGTGGTCGGCCGAAAATACAATTTTCTTGAAAATGACTTCACACCAGATGCCATAATTTTACAGGATGCTTTAGACTGTCATTTACCAACATCCTGTAAGGTATTTCGTAAAAACTTGATCATTTTATTTATTTTTATTGCAAATGTTGTATTTTCCCTTTAAGGTTCAAATAACATTATAAACAATCTATATTTACATAAACATTTTATGAAATTGCATAATTTTTTTTCAGGCAAAACGCGGTTGCGTCGCGATGAAGTTCTATTCCTAATGAAACTCAGCACCTAGACCAGGCAACCCGTCCAATTTTGCAAAGGCTTGTTTGAAAAGATTGAAGCTTTTTTTAAACAAATGTACCATTTTTAGTTTTTCAAATCCGTTCTGTCAAATTTTCTTTCAAACTCGTTTTTTAACAAAAAGCGACTAAAACGGTTACAATGGGCATGTTGTTAATGTTTATAGCACTTTCAATAGTCATTAGCTTAAAACAGGATACAAAGAGGAGAAGTGCACTTTGAATTTATTGTTATTTTTCTGGGGTTAAACCAGTACACTTTACCAAGTCTTACAAGAAAAATATACAATGCATTTTTCTAAATTTTTCTTTTCTGATGCTTCAACAGGGCGGCACAAGTTTTGAAACTCTTTATGCAATTTTAAACCACTTTAAAAGCCTTCATGTTTTCCAAAAAAAACCCCGAAAAATTAAACATTGACTTTTAAGAATTTTTTTCTGCAATTTATCAACATTATGTCTCTTTGATATCTCTTCTTGTGCAAGTCTTAATTATTAATGAATACTTCAAACGAAAAAGTCAGAAAATAAATAAATATGATTTTCATGGTAGAAATGTATTATAAAAGACGGGTCTGTAGGTACACCATGGAATTCGGGCGATTCACAATGCAGTGCGTCACCAAGCGTTTGCCGTGGATGGTCCATTTTTCAAGCATACGGTCGACAAAAAAACGGCCATTTAAATGAGTGTAAGTTTAGCTAACTTGTTATAGATTTGGGCATATAGCGCCCTAAGATACCATATTAATAAAAGAAAATAAAAGGGCAAACATAACTCGAATCATACGCTAACGAAACTACTGACCAGAATTTTTTTTAACAATTTCAAATATCCTGCGCTGCGAATTTGTCGACCATCTCCCACAATGCACTGGGAAAAATGTACTCTCCATGGTAAACTGTTGGTGGCGCACTGCATTGTGAATCACCCGAATTGACATACCGCAGAGAGCTTTTGTGGTGCTCTGAGACAATGATTCTTGGAGGGTGGACAAATACACTATCTCGAAATGTCGAGAACCATTTATTCTCGCCTCTATTTCTTTTTAGAGCAACATTTTTTCAAACCTATCCTTTGTTGAAATAATTGAACTGAAGTGAATATTATGAGTGGGATAATTAGACCCAAGGGAAGTTTCGAATGTTGAAAATTACCTGCTGGATGTACGGTGGGTGACTGATGCCGTCCATCGAATGATTTGACTTTGTAACTTCATCACCTATAACTGACACACTACAGTGCACGTTACCATCGTGTGCCGTGGACTGAGATCCAATGTTATCACTGCCTTTGTCATCCTGTGGGGCAACCCTAGACCTACTGCGGTTGAGATGACTTTGCAAAGATGCCTTGGACTGTTGGCTCTTTGCGTACAGACAAAAGAAGAGGAGCATGGCTACCACCACGAGGATCAAAGTGATCGACCCAATGATGATCAAAACCAGGGCCAATGTGGACAATCCATCTGGAAAATAAGAAAGAAAATAGACTGATACGTTAATTAGGTTATGTGATTTAATGTGATCCAACTGTTCGAAGCTTTCATAAGTCATCAGATGGTCGAACTGCATACATCCAACCGAGTTATTCCTTGTCGTGAAACATGGTATACATTCATCTGTTAGTCGGCCCAACTAAATAGCTATGACTTGATGGAAAAACTACAACCCATTTACCTTCTGGAGGTGGCACCACGTCAGACTCACATCGCTGACCGGTAAAAGACTCAGGGCAACTGAAAATATAAGTCAATTCATTTAACTGATTAAAGATTGTGTACTCAAGGCTGCTTAATATCTTCTTCAGGCTCAAAACAAGAGGCCTCTCTTTAAAGTAAATGGAAACTGGTTGGAAAACTCTACAGATAGGAAACACTCAATGCAAAAATACCATTTGAAGTTAGTACACCAAGCTCATCATCAACTGATTTTAGTTTGTTAGGATAACAGCGAATGCCACAACGGAACTGCACTTGCAGGCCTCACGACCTTTACTTTGCTTCCACAATTTACCTATTTATTGAATTGAGCAAGTTTGTGTCCTCTAATGGCAAGTTAAAATATAGTAGAAATGTTGCTTTACGCCGCAAAATATGCTTTGTCTCAAAGTAAGTAACACCTTACAATTATTTGTCAATGCTTTTTATACGTGCTTGAAATATCGAAAAGATTGATTCTTACTTTTTAGAAATTATCTTGTTTAAAGCTATCACTAAAAAGATTAAGAAGAAAACGTATACTACCATATCGCAACGTAACGCGAAAAGGCTTTTCAAATGTGTGGGATCCTGCTTTAGCCACGCTATATTTAAAAAAATGCTTTTGCATAAAGAGCTTGATGTGTCCTAATCATTAGCTAAGAGGGAACCAAGTTAAAGGGAAGGACCTTAAGTCGTGCATTCTTTACCTGCATGCGTAGTTCTTATAAGGAAAGATACCCGACGTCTCACACGTCCCACCGTTCATGCAGTAAGTCGGTACACAGTCTATTGCCTCATCTATCATAAAAACAATCACAAGACAAGTCAAGCCTAGCAAAGCTGGTCTCACTGATGTGTCGCATCATTGAATATATCCAGGGTAACGTGTGTAACAAATCCTCCAGCAACAGGCCAATTAAAGTGTGTATTACTTGCAGATTCGGAGCAGGTTTTCTGTAATTTTCAATTTTCCCACTGTGCAGCTATCGAGACTAGCAAAGCTGGTCTCACTGATGCGTCGCCTCATTGAAATATCCAGGGTAACGTGTGTAACAAATCCTCCAGTAACGGGCCAATTAAAGTGTGGATTACGGATTCAGAGCAGCTTTTCTGTCATTTTTAATTTTCCCACAGTGCAGCTATCAGCACTTTACTTTGGAAAGATTCCAGGTGGAATATGTTCAGAATCTAGCAATTATACCTGATACAATTCGCCTACTGCAATTGAACTTGTCAGCAACCTACCCCATATTTCGGTGACTTGTTTTGCCTTCATGATGTTTATTTGTTAAATTTAAGTACGGTAAAGAACTAAAATTTAACTTGATGGCATTACGGAAATTTAAAATAAAAATTTCTCATAGGATTAGTTTTAAAGCTTCACAAGAAATACAATTTCATTTTTAAAGTGATATTTTATGTGACTGTCGTTTATTGGAAATAACTGCTGCCATAATAACAAGCATAAAGTCGTAATCTAGTATTATGTGTGTCGATTTTCACGCGGCTAACCATGCTTTAACGATTCTAAAGTGATTATTTTATACAACAGTAGTTTTTAATATCAACTTACCATCCACAAGGATCGAGTTTTGAACAATGTCAATGACTGTACTGCCATCAGTCAGTGTATCACTGCTTGCCAGCACTTGACGTAAAATGGCGTTGGACGGTGCAGCAGTTTCAAACAGTGCTACAGATCTGATGACAACACTGCCCTCCTCCATTAAAGGAACTACCACCGACAAAACGTCATTGGTTGATGGGTTTTCTTTAAGAGTCTTCAAAATCTAGGAGTAAAAAATGTCAAACATGAGCTGTGAAAAGATGTTTTACATTTTTTAACCATTACACTGCCCAAAACTGCCCAAGCGCTCTTCATTGATTAAATCCGTTAGAATACAATTAGTACAGGTGCTAATGAGTTATTACTGATAATAATCTGAGAGACAAAAGCCTAGCACAACCTGGGAAACAATGCTCTTTTAATATACTTCAAACCTTGATGTTATTAGTTACCGCCATTTTTACAATGAGATCGTGATACTGAGACCAGTGCCTGCTTCATCTTGAAACGACAGTCAGATTAGAACGCAAGACAATCAATTTTGACCATAGACATTTAACGTCGGATTGTTCAAAATCTGTGAAAATCTGTCATGTACAAATCTACCACAAATGTTCATAAGTAACCCATTTTGTATGTGAATCTTGTCAAAATCTAAAAAAATGATCGCTCTGCATTTTGTGTAATAAAATATTCAGACAAATCACAACTGACGTTGTTACAAATGTGGTTAACGTTTTATGTATTTATTTAAACATGAATGAAACTGCTGCTTCCTGACTGAATTGACCTAAAATAACGAATCCAAATAAGTGAGGGCCTATAGGAGAGTACGATATCACCGCAGGATCCAAGAAGGGTCTTGGAGTGACATTTGACATGAACATGAATATGCAATCCCACATTAGGAATGTGTCTCGTTCTGCTATGTATCACTTGTACAACATAAGTAAAATCAAACTTCTCGTACTGATTATTGTAATGCTGTTCTAGTAGGTCTCCCTCCACCGTCCCTGGCCTCTATGCAGAGGGTTCAGAATGCTGCAGCCAGGCTGCTCACTGGTACAAAAAAGTATAATCACATCACCCCCAGCTCTCATGCAATTGCACTGGTTGCCAGTCAAGTACAGGGTGATATTTAAAGTTTGTCTCTTGGCTTTTAAGTGTCTCCATGGTTGTGCTCCCAATTATTTGTGTCATCTGCTAAGTACTAGAGTTCCAACTATATTTTCTCGTTCTGCGCTGGACACGTCTCAATTACATTGCCCTAATGCCAGGCTGGTTTCTGCAGGTAAGAGAATGTTTTCCGCCTGTGGAACCAGCTTGAAATTAACCTTAGGGAGTCTACCAGTGTTCAAAGTTTTAAGTCGGGTTTGAAAAGTTTTAAGCAGGCCTTTCTTAATTCATAGGATAATGTTTTTTTTAATCGCTGGGTTTATAACGTATTTTTTTTGGTTAAATGTATTGATATATACCTTTTTAAGCAGGCTTTTTTTTTTTTTTGGCTGGGTTTATAATGTAAATAAAAAACAAAATGATTTCTAATGGCTTAATGCCAAAAAGAGTCTTTTTGGCTAATTTTTCCTCGCTGGACTATTAATGTACTTTTATGTATTGATCACGTTCACCTTTTTAAAAATATTAATTGTAATTACTTTATCTTTTTAATGTGTATAGCGCCTAAAAGCATATTATGGATTTGGGGCGCTATATAAATGTTAATTATTATTATTTTAATTATCAATGTTTTGATCCTGGCAGCACCTCTCTGGTATAGGACTTAGGTTTTTCTGGCTGAGGAAACAAGAGATATGTAATTTACTTACTGCCTTCGCAAACACGGCTGCAGTTTTATTGAATGCTTTCGACGTTGGGTTTTTGAAGGCTTCGTTGAAGTTCATACGAGCAGTAATCACGACATTCTTGGATGGGTACCCTGGAAGAAAAGAAAATCTAACGTTGTTGAGTGTCACTGGGTGCAATACATTAATCCTTTTTTTTTTTTGGAATAATTGTTTGGCACAAACTAAATGTAAGGTTATTGCTATCTATGAGACCACAGTTTTTAAGGGGTCTACTTTTTACAGTGTAATTATGGGAGAATATGCGATGGTCAGATATTTTAGTATTCTATGGAATGTCGTCTTGTACAGCAAGAGTCTATGATATGCGAGCAGATTCGGCGATTAATTATGCAAAACAACTGCGTCTTGACCTCGATGTAATAACAATAATAATAATAATAATTACAATGGGGTAATAGGGAGACTTTCCCATAGACTTGTGCACACAAATGTTCCGATTTTTAAAATGTGCCCTAACCCAATATTCCCTTGTCCTTTTCCCACGAATTTCGGTATTTTTTACTAATTAGACCACGAGCAACAAATATAACCTAATTTCGACAGCAAAATTTTGCCTCTAAAGGGGGGGCTGCACCAATAGGGAGACACCTATGTGTCTCCTTATTAAGCCCGTGTCTCCCTACTATCGACGTTTCTACGCTAACGTGTCTCCCTAATAGTACATTTGTAGGAATAACGATAATAATATAACAGGAATGATTCTTACTAATGCTTTAATGGGGTGACACTCTCGTAGACGTGCACCCAAACCTAAACTGTCACCTAACCCGAGTTAACCTGATCCCTTTCCCCACGAAATTCAGTATTTAGGCTGATTGGACGACGAGGAATCGATCCTTGTCCTAAGGGTTGTTTCAACAATAGGGCGACACCAAATTGTCGCTCCAATAAGGCCACGATTTTCGGTATGTTTACTAATTAGACCACGTAACAAATATAATCTAATTGCGACAGAAAAAAGGGGGGCTGTGACATTAGGGAGACATGTAAATGTCTCCGTAATGACCGATGCCTCCCACCGTTCGAAGAAATTACGATAACAAGTCTTCTTTATGGTACATTTAGTGGAATAAAGCGCATTACATTAACTTTTCAATGCACTTTACAACTAAAGATAGCGTTATATTACTGTTGCCTTACTGTTACTTTTCTAAATAGGTCAATAAGGAGACACGTAGTTATTTGTTTTGGTAATGGGGAGACATCAACCAAATAAGGAGACACCTTGGTGTCTCCCTATTTTTGGCCCCTATTTTATCGTCGCAATTGAGTTATTTTTGTTGCTCGTGGTCCAATAAGTAAAAATACCGAAATTCGTGTAAACAGGATTTATGGAAAATTGGGATAGGGCACATTTAAGTTGGAAAACAATTTGTGCACAAGTCTATTGGAATGTCTCAATATTGCCCCGTTGCCTTAACATTACTGTTACTTATATCATAATGAAAAGTTACTCTAAATAGCATTACCATGATACATACCACACGAAAAGTTACATTTCTATTACATTACATTTATATCACGTTACATTTATATTACGTTACATTACAATATGATTTCTTTAATCAGTTGAATTACTTACGTTGGCACTGACCAGAATCACCCTCGACAAATCCTTGGATGATATTGCAGTGGCAAGTGAATCCCGACGGATCATTGCTTGGTAAACAGTATTGGTCATTCCCACATCTGTTGCTGGAAAGACAGCGATTCTCATCTGCCAAGAAAAGAAATATCAGTGTGGGTATAAAACATGTTTAGCTTGTCACTCCATTTTTTGCCTCTAAAATTGAAGTAATGTTTGACCTCGGGAACTGCAATGCAAAGGCATAATAAGCATACTGGCATTTAGTGCATTGCTTTATACATATCATAAAATCCTTGTCCAAGACGTTTTGCAATGGAACATAACCATAGCATCTATACATATTTTTTCAAAACAATAATACGCTGCGAGTAGTCAAGGAGTCTGCACTCACATAACTCTATTCTGCTCTTACTAAGATTGCAAAAAAATATAGGTTTAAAAACCATCCACAAGAAAACCACTTGGTGATTTTCAAATTTGTAATGGTGTAAAAAAAATTACTTGTCCACAAATCTACCGGTCTGCAATACAACTGAATTTAAACCTCTATACAAAAAAATACGTATTAGCAATGATCATTCAGAAATAGAGTTGCTGATCACTTCGAGGGAATACAGCTTTTTTTCAAACTACACTAGGAAAACAAGAGGGGAAAAACTCATGTAGGTTTTACCAGCACACGTCATTCCCGAGTGCGTAAGTGGGCAGACGCACTCGCAGAACTCCGAATCAAAGGTCCCTCCATTCAAACAGCTTGACGCAGACAACTGACAACCGTCTGTAACGCCTGAAAACAAAAAGAACAGGGCACGCCTAGTAAATCATAGAGCACACCAAATTATATTCATCTTATTCAGAATGGCTAAACAGTTTTCGGAATAAGTTGTATGCTCTAGCTGCATACTGCATTCACGTGCTTGCAGGTCGGACTTTTGTGCACCATCAACATCTTTGATTGGTCAACACACCATGAAGCAGAGCTTATCGGTCTATTCTTTCCAGTTCTACATTTCTGTTCACATTCAGAAAAAGTTTTTCGAAGAAAAACATGTTAAATTTGAAGTTGCCCACAAAACACAACTGTTAAACAATTGATGGAAAACTGAACATTGGCCAAACGGAAAGGTAATTCGGGTGAACTCACAATTTATTGCATATAATGTAACCATTATAAGCACCGTTGGTACAATTTATTTTTGAATTATTTAGTGCCAATTAAGGGTAGTTATTGCTACCTTTGGTAGTAGATTCTGTAGAGGGCCTTTCTTCTGGCTGGGGTGTCGACATTTTCTCGGTTGCTGTTGTTGATTCTGTCAGAGGAAAATGTGGTAAATAATTAGTGTAATATTACCAGCAATTTTTGTTTCCCTAGTTCTGGTTCTGCATCTGTAATAAACGTTTGAGAAAAAAAAAATGCCAGTAAGTACCTTCCGTTTCGGCCAGGACCGGGGGCGCTGTACTTGCTCGTTCAGCTGGCAAGCCTGAAGTCGTTGGAGAGCCTGTGGAAGATCGTGCATAATTCCTGTTTAGCTCGAGTGACTACAACACTGCAAATGGAAACTCTCAAAGAAGAACATGACAATGCTGGTCAACAGAGCAAAAGATTATATTCAATGATTCAGAACGGCTCTTCACAGGAAGCTATCGTATACCTGGGAGCACTCCCACTTTACAGGCGACAGTCGGTCAGTCAGTCAGTCAGTCAGTCAGAGAGTTAAGTACAAAGAAGACTCTGGGACCAGAAAATATAAAACCAGCAGATATCTCTGAACATGACCACTCGTATATATTATGTATATATTTACGGTTATCCTTACTTTTAGGACCCCTTTCCTATGTAAGGTTAAAAGACTCACCAAAACAGCTGACTAAATGACACTCAAAAGTGACATTCTGATATTTATTGACACATTTGAACATTTGGCAATGACACCTCTTGAATATCAGCAGGTTTGATTTTGTAGAAAGAGGGCTGGGTTTTGATTTATGAGGGGTTAAAGACGACGATAACAAACAGAAAATAAATTTAAAAAGCAAGATGGCGAACTGCAAAAAAGGTGGGAAAGTCACATTTTCTTTGAAAGTGCTTTCAAAATTATAACTGACATGAGTTTGTCTGAAGAAAAAGGACTTCTTTAGCCTGCAAAAGTCACTTTGGTACTGGACAGTCATCTGCAAAATTCAGTTTTGAACAGAACTTGTACAAAATAGAGGTGTCCTAAAAGTAAGGATTACTATATTAACATTCCTTTTTCAAGAAACGGATTGGATGTCTTGATAATAATTTAACTATATATCCCTTTGAATTTACCATATACAGAAATCCAGAGTAAATTTTATAAAACTGGAATCATTGTCCCGCTGGCACAAAAATAACACAAGTTTTGTTGATGTGCCCTAACGTGGCGCGGCCTCTAACGTGGTGCACTTTGATTTTTCGCCTGTAGCGTCTTGCAAAAGTTTGAACTGAAATTTCACACAAAGTGAAGTTTCATCAAGCTCTAAACACTCTCGTTCATTAATCAAGACTTTATCTACCCGTTACAAAGTTAGAACAATTTATTTCGGCGTGATTTTCCGATTGTATTGTGAAGTACACAGTGAACCCTTTAAAAATGTCCCCCCCCCCAAAAAAAAAAAACAAACAAAAAAACTGACAAACTGCTAGTTGGGTACGTATTAAGTAGAAATCATAATGGTTTATCAGAATTTATCAATTTTACAGAAATTCTTAAATGCTCATTTGGATTTTTTTTACAGATTTATTTAAGTGCGCCAAGTTAGGGAACACTCAGCCGATTATGTGTCCAATTTTTGGTCACCACCTGTTTTGCATCTCGAATTAAACTTTACAACACATCTTTGTGAAAGAACAAGTTTTTGAACGTTCATTTTGACTCATGTTTTCATTCAGTTTGTCTCCGTTGCCTTGCCGTCCTTAAATCTAATAACTTAGGTGGACCTCCTTAACCCTAAAAGGGCCGGGTTATTTTGACCATCTCCCAGCCCGGGGGGGGGGGATTCCGCCCCCCGTAAGATCTCGACCATCGAGTGACGAAATTTTTGAAACTCGGTACATGCATAGAGCAACTCTTCCTAAACATACCCAAGAAATTTCATGACTATAGGTCAAAGGGTTTTGGAATTTGGCTAATTAATTATTCATATTTACGAATGGCAATTCTGCTCTGTGTACATGAGGTATATGGGAAAATTCAGTTTTCACGGCGCGTAGCGCCGGAAAACGTTTCGCTACGCGGCAACCCGTGGTCCAATTTTTATGTTTTTGGTATCAAAAGATGCGCAAAGCTCGAGGCTAAACAGTCATAACAGCTCGAGTCGCGAAAAAAAGAGGCTATTGCGGAAAATGTTGAGGGGGGGGGGCGGATTCCGCCCCCGGCCCTTTTAGGGTTAATGGCGTACCGCTACGATTGGAAATGCACATCAAGTTGTGTCCTCCTATTACTCCACTAATTTAGAATTCACCATACGAGACAAAAGTCAATCAAAGACTGACGTCTGGATTAATTTTACCAATGCATTGCTTCCCATCTTCATGCAGTAAGTATCCAGCATTGCAGCTACACGTGAAGTTCATGAGGATGTTGTGACAGTTCTGGTCGCAGCCCAGTCCGCCACCGCTGGCTGGCTGGTCTCTGTACAGCTCGCACTCATCAATATCTGCAGACAGATGCAGACAAAAAAGGGAAATTACAATCAGTCTTCAAATTCCATTTCTTGAAACCATCAATGTGGTGACATGTGCTACTCTGTGGACTCAGCACACAAATACAACCCCCATGAGTTGGGGGAGAAGACCACTGGAAGGGAAATTCGAACCCCGTTCTCATGTTGAATTATCAAGAGAACGGGGTTTCTGATGACCAGACCCAACACACTTATTAGTGAGGAGTGGATGAGGAACCTCAAGAATAAAGATGGCGGACTAAGGGCGTACCGCAACCTGGGCTTATATTCTGTGCATAAAGTTGAAAGCAACCATTCAGTGCAGGAGCAGTTTTGATAAAAAAAAACCTGTATGTGACCACACAACGGGCTTGCATGTCTTTGGCATTTTTTCTATAGCTGTTCCAGTATTTAAAGCATTTTCACCAGATCAGTAACTTCCGTTCTTTTCTTTCGTCCTTTTAATATTCGGCTGCCATCTTGAATTTTCGTTCGTAATCGGCAATCTAGTACAGGGTTTCGAAATTACTATGTTTAATGCTAATATGATACCTGTTAGTGGTCGTTTACCGGTGTTAGTCTCATTAATAAAATCCCTTTTTCTAGGTTATGGCTGCCATTCAGCCAAATTCTAAAAAAGGGGATGGGAAGGGATGCTGAGTAGGCCCTACCATAGGACTAATTGGAAGCTTTTCAGTACAGAATATCTTGAACACTATTTGGAAATGAAAGGTGCTCTTCATTGCGGCACATCGCTCCAGATTTTGCTGACCAGACAATGATTTGGGCGACGCAAACGACCAATGGTGTGACATCCCTTAACCCTAAAAGGGCCGGGCTATTTTGACCATCTCTCAGCGATGATCTCGGCCATCGAGTGACGACAAATTTATGAAACTCGGTACATGCAAAGAACAGCTTATCATAAACATACCCCCAAAAATTCATGACTATAGGTCAGAGGGTTTGGGAATTATGGCTAATTAATTATCCATAATTATGCACGAATGGTAATTCTGTTTTGTGTACACTAAAAATGGGGAAAACAGTTTTCACAGTGCGTACATGTAGCTCCGGAAATATTTCTGCTGCGCGGCAACCTCTGGTCGCGAAATTGTTTTTTTTTAATGCTATCGCAGAAAAAAAGTTGAGGGGGGGGGGGGGGGCGGCGGATTCCGCCCCGGCTCCTTTAGGGTTATCTCCACCCTGCCCCAGCATTGTCCGTGACTCTGGACAACTGTAGGCATTCCTGACTGACCTTGACACGATTTCCCGTCCCCCTCAAGTCCCGCTGGACAAGGTCCGCAGGTGCTGTTCAACGAGGGTGGATCCTCATCCACGCAATCAACATTCAGGAAACATGGGTTGTCTGCGCACGCGTCGTAGTTCTCTTCACAGAACTCTCCCGACCAGCCAGGCTCACATTGGCATAACACCACCTACACGCAATAAAACAAGCCCCATTCAACTTTGATCTCATGAACCAACATACAGTAGCAATTTTTTACGCCTTTGTTGTTCTCGAGAATTGCACTGCGTGTTTTCTAAACCTTCACTTTTCGTTTGGATCAAGATCACGAATAGTGATGATGTGATAAAACAGATCCAATAAGCCCTACACCATGACACTTTGACCAATAAACCGCCGTCCTTATTGTTCGAGATGCGTGCAAGTGTGCGTGAAGCGAGCTCGAGCATGCAGTTTGGCGCATGTGCCGTTGCCCATGCGTAGTGGCAGATCAATCTATATTGGACAGTGGTGGTTACTGTTTTACTTTTATTAAAAAAAAACCTACCCCAAATCGGTCCTGAACGATGTTCACCCCACTCGCGTACTGATCAAACAGGCAGGTGCCGTCATTCTGACAGTCACAGAGCTTCACGATAGGTTCCAGTGTGGCACTCGCTTTTCCATCTGTTGCTAGGAAGCCGATCTTCACTTTAGTCTTGTTCTCTGGTGTCCAAGAAAATCGACCTTTTGGAATACATTGAAAACAAGAAGAAGCATATTAGCTTATCTGTTGCCTGGTTCAAATCCCATATTGAAGTGGTCACCACAACCAATCACTATATGTTGGAGTATATTAGAATTTTATGAATTTGATACTGAATTTTTAAACTAAATACATTGTACAAGCTTTGAAATGAAATCAATACATTGCCTGTTTACAAACCTAAGGCTGAGATGGCTGCCCCTGGTACCATCTCAAGTAAGTCGAAAGTGACGTCATCGCCGTCAGGATCCACTGCTTCCAGTTGCAGGATGAAGTTCTTGCCCACAATAACTTCGATGGAGCCCACAAGCGTTATGTTTGGTGGGAAATTGGCTGGAAAGAATAGGGAATTTGAAAAAAAAATCTTAAAAATGCAACAGCTGGTCTCCCACCACTTTCCTTTAATACAGAGAACGTTTACGTAACACCAATAGAAGGGCGGCGACATCAGGGATGTTTTACATTGGCTTATCTAGCTCCCAGACACATTTTCCTGAAACTCAATGGTTCTTGAGTCCGGAGTGCGGAATTGTAACACATAGCAACCGATGAAAAGCAGTGTGCAAAGGAATATATGTTTTCATCGGATGACGTTATCCCGCCCACGCCTATAGCAAATAAGAGAACACAACACTAAGCAGGCTTTAAAGCTTGTATCATACCAATTTCGTGCAAGAGGTCTACAGCGCCTGTCTAAAAAAAAAAATGCTACAATCAGAAAAAAATTTGTTAAATATGAAATTTCAAAATAAGTCATTCTTACGTGGCATAATATTAACGAACAAAGACTGGGCTTTCCAATAGTGTTTGTTTGATCTTATTTGCTTTTGTCAATTCAGAGATATAATCCATTTAGTGCGATACACCAAAATCGATTTTGTGCCACTTTTATGCATGGGCAGAGTTGTTTCGAGTACTGTGCCATGCTGTCTTGAAGCTCACAAAAGATTGCTACCAGAAAGTGGCACAAACTCGATTTTTCTGTTCCGCAGTAAACTGGAGTTATCTCTGGATTGACAAAAAGCAAATGAGATGAAACAAAAAGTGTTGGAAAGCCTTGTCTGTTTTCTTTAATGTGATGCTCAAAACGACTTACTTATGTTGAGATTTAATATTGAAAAAATATCGTTTTTGATTGTACCATTTTGTTGAGACTGTCTGTATACGTAATCATCTGAGTCAAATAGTTGAGACTCAAACAGGTGTAACTTACTAGTGGCATGAGTTAGACAGTGCGTCAGTGGTTAAGGGCATTGGATTTTTGGTCTGGGGTAAAGGTGCAGGTTGTGGGTTCGAGTCCGTCCTGGGGTCATGGTGCGTGTGCCCTTAGGCAAGGCACTTTGTCACTCATTGCTCTCCCCACCTAGGAGTAAATGTGTACCTATTAGGGCAGAGATGGTTATTGTGGTTGAACTAGCTTCCTTGCGCCTAACGGGCTGCATCGAGCTGTATACTCCCCAGGGAGCTGAGATGGTATTTGGAATGTTTAATTGGCCCAATGATCAGCGGTGATAAAAAATGTAAAGCGCTTTGATCTTAGTTAAAAGTGCTATATAAGAACCCGTTATTATAATAGTATTAAACAGGTGCAACGAGAACTGTAGGCTGGCCCTCTGGGACCTGCGAACAGGTGCAACGTCAATTAAACTAGTTAATACTTCAATCAAGTGCTGTGTATATAATTATGTACTTACTCGCGATTGCCATGTTTTCCATGTTCACCTCATTGAGTGCCGATGTAGCCATACCGATGCTGGTATCATTCAGAGCCAAGGAGTCGTACAGACACACTTTGCTTGATCCGCAGACCGCTTTGGCCTCGTTGTATTTGCCCGGCTGTGCCTTGTCGATCAAATCTTGCAGGAAGTCTGGAGTGAAGTTGGGGTCGTTCAAGGAGTCATAGCTTTCATCAGGAGACTGATAGAAGAACAGAGAGTCTTCCTCCACAACTCGCCCTGAAATTATCACGCCAAAATTACACTAATTTCTCTAGAAACAGATAAAATGTTACACCAATCATACAATGACAAGCCGTCCACACTTAAAATTACATTTTTCGTGAGGGGTTTGGATGTTTTCTTACATGTTTGGCCAAATTCGAAGTAGTCCCTCTCCACCAGCTCTCCATTGTCTCCAGAGCCTGTTTGCAGAGTGCCATTACGCGTCAACACATCATTGCTTGGGTCGTCATCCCACACACCTGAGCAGATTTATCAAATCGGTTAAACTTAGCACCTTAAACCAACCTATCTAGAGTGCGTGGGAGAATTTGGGACTGTCACTAAGTAAAAACATTGTCATCTCAATTGATTCAACCCACAAAATAGTTTCAGTGATAAATTCTGACAAAATATTTTCTAGATCAGATTTATCCAGAGCAAGTGCCATTGTAAATGGGATGAACATAAATCCGTCGTGGTATGAGCCATACCTAGAATTCCTTTTGTTTTTCCTTTGAAGTCCTCGTTGAAAAGGATTGTGATGTCGGCCATGCTGTTGTTCACCCCGACGGTAAAGGTGACGTATTCAGAATACATGACGCTCACTTTGATTGGATTCTCCGCCCTCGTTACCTGAAGATTTTCAAACTGCAATCCTACGAGAAAATAATAACATAGAGCCTAATAAGAATGCATGTTCATTTTCGCATGTATTTGAGGAAGACGTGGATGAAAACAGCCTGGCATAGCCCTCAGCTGGGTTCAAATGGTGCGTACGTACAGCAGCTAAATAAACAGCAACGCCTCCAGAATTCTACAGCCGGACTAGTCATCTTCACCAAGAAAGTGTGTCAAATAACACATTTTCTTCAGTCGATTCACTGGCTGCCCGTTCGAAGACGCATAACCTTCAAAGTTCTGTTGTTGGTCTACCACGAAGTCCATGGCTCCTCATACTTACAAAACTCAATATTGGCATACCACCCCCACGCTGATCATCAGACTCCACCCTTCTTCAAGTTCCTAGATCCCAACACTCTTTGGGTGGCCACAGCTTCTCTCACGCAGGCCCCACTCTGTGGATGGAACAACCTACCCCTCTCTATCCGTCAAGCTCCCTCTTCGATCTCCTTCAAACTAGAACTCAAAACCTACCTGTTCACACTCTAATCTCCTCTTCGGCTTGTACCTTGCAAATGATATGTGTTAATTAGGACTTAGCATTTTATCAATTTTGTAGTTTGTATAATTACTCATTGTATAGCGCCATGAGCATCACTTAGTGATGGACCTGTTGCGCTTAATAAGATGCCACTGTTATTATCATTTTAGATGGAAAAGGTTACCGATAGACCAGCAGTTAAACGAAACTTGCTTTGACCGGCCCACTGCACTTTGGTGATTTTAGAGATCGGCCTTACCTTGAGCAGTGGGTGTGACAACGGTCCCATTGACAGTCGTTACCAAATCCATGGCATCATCACTCAACTTGATCTCAATCTGTATCGAATGGGAAACAAAACCGGCAAGCTGTTCAAGTGCTTGTAATTCATGTATCTGATGGGAATTTTGAAGATTTTAGATTAATCGCTTGGTTGGCTGATAATATGATGAGTGCTGTTTTTTTGTTTTGTATCGGATGCTTTCAGCAAACATATACAGAGTGCGTCAAAAAAGCGAAACCCAAATGTCGGACTATTGTTTTATTGAAGTCCTGCATGTAGCACTTTCAAAATCTAGGGTCTGAAAGCCCAATTCATAAGCTTTCTTTTAGTACAAGAATCATTCAACACACTCTTGTACTTTTCAAAAGGTGTGCGTTCTTTCAGCAATACGAAAGCGATTCACACACATCGCTACGTGATTTGTTTTTGTTTTGCTGAAAGAATACGTACCTTCTTGTGATCCGTGGACAGAACTTAAAACGGCGGTTGTGTTTAAAATTCAGTAACTTGAAATGTACATGAGTGATTTGACTGATTCTTGTACTAAAAAAAAGCTTATGTTTTGGGCTTTCATATCGTAGATTTCGAAAGTGCTACATGCAGAACTTCCCTAAAACAATGGTAATTTATGTATTTGTTGTTGTAACTGGCTGGCCCATTCAGTGGACTACACTTGTCCCCCATGGGTCCAGTAAACATAAAAAAGACCAAAAAAAAAAAACACTATTAAACTAAACACAATCAAGGTAGAAAATTTCAAGATTAAAAACAAGTGGGGCCTGCTAAATATTTTTGAAAAGAAACATATCAATTTAAATTTAAGAAAATCCACTTAAATGACTTGCCTACACATTTCAATGTTGGACCCAAAATGACAGAATATGAAATAAAAAGACAAACCTTGGAGAAATGGAGAAAACAGGCGATTAAAAAACATAATAAAAAACAGCATTAGTTTAAATTAGATTAAAAAAAGAAAAACATGTACAACATACTGAAATTGTTGGGACTTGGTATGACAAAACAGAGAATTGTAAGACATCGAGTCTACAACCCAAAACTACAAAAACTAATACAACATCCTGCTTATAACAAGCAAAATTGTAGGTCCCAAGTCTTTTTTTCTTCATTGTTTTCCATTATTGTCAATACAAGGTGTAACAAGGTAATTTGTAAAGTCCCAAAGGACTTCGTTATTAAGGTGTTCAACTGTACTTAAGCGATTTACAAAATATTTGTTTGGGAACGCAGCAATGTAAATCGATCAACATAGGCAAATCATGGAAATCAAGTCAAAAACATCTTTGGAAAGGCATTCTGTTCAAATACTTCATCTGTGTCTGCATAGAGACCTTTGCTTCTCCTGTGTACACCGCAGCGAATCCAGAGTAGACAGTAGCCTGACTAAGTTCCCCTGTCTCCGTATCCACGGCCTGTCGTGTGCGACCCTGCAGTTCAAAGACTCTTTGTCCATCGTCATCTTCGATGAGTGCTAGTGTGTATTCACCCAGACCATTGAAGGTGTACTCCAGTCCATCAAGCGTAACGACGTGGGGGTCTCCAAAACCCCAGACTTTTTAAATAAAAAAACCAGAACTGCAATAAACACTGCAATTAACAACTTATGATTAAGACTTAAACCATCGACCACTGGCTTACTGGCGCTCGCTCAACCACAGAGCTTGCAGAGGTCCGCTGGCCAGCTCAAATCTGCTTTTAGCAGCCAGTGCTACAACCAATATTTTGTTTGTTTGTTTGTTCGGAGAAAGGTTAATTTGTATGTAGGAAACATCGGAGAAAGGTTAATCTGCCCTTCACTAACGAACGTTTTATAAATAGAGAGAACAAACAATGGCGGAGAGTTCTGTTTCAGTTTTCCTGAAAGAAATTACTTCATTGCAGGAAGGTCACTCTTTCTAGGTATATTTTTGTGAGCGTCTAATGCCATGACATATAGTTTAAGGAAAACATGTTGTAACCTGACGCCTCTTCCGCGATTGTGTACAAAGTCTATGGAAATCAAGAAAATCTTCCAAGTATTTCCTAACAAAATTGGAAATGTTTCTCAGTCCCAGATTTATGTCTTATTATCAATTTTGCAATGACTGACCTTCAATGAGATGATATATGAAGAAAAAATCGCGTCAGGTTGCAAAATTGTTTCCTAGTTTAATTTCTTTTATGCCTAGGTTCCATTCTATTTGAGGTCGGAAATTCTCATTTGTTTAAGCCATGAAGAAAAGAACAGGATGGTGCCGTATACGATTGACTTCGCCGCAGCTAGACCAAAGCTAAGCCGCCAAAATTTAACCTTCAGGCCTTTCGAATGCAAGGGGCATTCAAACAAATAGTTTGAAGGGCTGTTGAAAGAATCATCTCCATGTGAATGTTGTTTACTTGTATCAAATGTTTACTGTTCATGACTTACCCCAGGCTGGTGGCCTGTACCACCTGCAAGTCATTAGAGGTCGCCATCTTCTGTACAGGTGGCAAAGAGTAGACTTCTCACAACAATAATAGCGTGGGAGTACATCTTCATCTGTTAAATGTGAAAAAGAAAACATGTCTGCAAGATCTTCGTGTTGGTTTGTTGGATTTAAAACAAAAGAAACTTTGATTTTGTGATTTTTTTTTGTAACTGGTAAACATTTTCTACACCAAAAGCTACAGGTACTTGTAATCGGACTTTTTGACAAATTTTGACAAATTTTACAAAGAAAATGTCAATAGAATATCATCACCAGGAATACCAGCCAGTGTTTTCCCAATGTTTAATTAATGTTTATTTGAATAATAAAACACATATAAACCTTAACTTTCACCAAGACTTTCAGTGTAGCATTAACGATCACTCATTGGCTGTGCTCGTAACGTAGAGGCAATCATGTAAATGAACCGTACAGATGTCCTTGCACTTCAAATCTAGATAATGCATGAACTTTGCAAGCACTTACTTTTCCACAGGTCGAAAGAGTTGGCCCTGTAAAATATAGGCCCAAGCGGATACCTCTCAAAGACAGACGCGACCCTGGCACTTCGGACGTCGTACACAAGATCCCGGCTGAACAGATTATAGCAGCACCGTGGACCGGGGATCCAAGAAACCTGGAAGAGCCTGACGTAGCAAACGGCAGCTGTAGACAGAAGTGATTTTACAAACATTTATTATATTAAAGAACACTTTTGACAGATTGCACCCTTTTGGGCTTGAAAACGCATTTAACAAGAGGGAGGCAGTAGATGATATCTCACACACAACCTTATATAAGAGCCACCTACACAATCTTGCTGGCTATAGAGACAACAATATGTTTGGAAGTTGGGAGTCAGTGGAGAGTTAGCTGGAGAGTAAGAGACCCCGGGGCAAAGCACGTTCCCCGCCCTAAGTCGGAAGCAGCTGATAGACTGGTAGCGTAGATATACAGGAACGATTCAAAAACCTTGACTTGATATAACGATCGATCCTTTTGTGACCAGGGGAACACAGGATCTTCAAGTTTAGATGGAAAATGTACTGTTTTATTTCTCCTCAGTGGCCGCATGGCAGCAAAGCGCAGCCAGCGCTGTAAAACTTTCTTTAAATTAAAAGACTTTTATAACATGGGTGTGCTCTCGTTGGTGGCTAATACAAGACTGACCTGAAGAAAGCTAAACCACAGGATGTTGGCCAGTGCCTCACATTCCTGGGCAAACCACACAGGGATTATGAATAAACAGAGAAGGGGGTGATAAAACAAAGTAACTACTGTAGAAAACCTAGAGTCTAATGAATAATGAATAGGGTACATGTAGTCAGGCCTGGAGGTAATTACTTTTCCAGAAACTTGGAATGTGTGGCTGACCCACCCAGGGCCAAAGGACAGGTTTTCGCATGGTGGTTCTTAATAAATGAACAAAAATATAACATGTACATAAAACAATGTAGATAATAATAATTTCAATACTTGGAAAATAGGTGAACATAAAAACAATCCAAAACTTGTGAAAAAGAATCCCACGCATTGACTAATTGGGATATAAAATATTAAGAAAACTTTCAGTAGAAATAAGAAAAAACAAAGGTGCCAAAAAAGATAACATTGAAATATGCTTCAAATATTTCACCGGTTACATTTCTCCACTGCTAAATTGTTGGGTTCCACACCAACACCATGTGTGAAAATTATTTTCTTCCGTGTAAAAATGTGCATAAAAACAATCAGAATGGATGAAGTAAACTAAAGACTAAATATAATTCAAGTAATTGGTAAAACTACAAACTAGTTAACATAATTAAAAATAAGAAAACGAAAGCAAGATAAATCCAATTTGCAAATTTGATGTTATTTTGAAGAACTATAATTATGGGCACCTGATGGAGTCCTGAATATTTTTCCTGCATTATGAAGGGCGGAGTTAAATGTTCAGTGTTCACGTGGGACGGTGTCTCCACTGCTTGTCCAGGTCCTGGGTTTGGATGACGGGTTGACTGCATGCAAAGAGATGGGGTTACTCATGTACTCTCATATCATGGGGATGGGGTCTCCACTGCTTGTGAGTGTCCTGGGCTGTGTTGAAGACTGGGCTGGATCATGCATCAGAAACAGGGGGTAGCAGCAAACATCAAGATGGGTATTAAACAGCGCACCTCTCAGTTCTCTCTCTGAATGCTATGGCGAGTATCAGCGAAGTATCAGCTTCCCAAGGAGGGAATTTTGAGACAGTTAAATAGTGTAGATGTTGGGGCCCTGAAGTACCTCTCAGGTAGACCCAAGCTAAATGACTGCAAAAGTTGATCCCTTGACGGGTCAGTTCAACCTTTAGGTGCACCCCCATGTAGATGGTTCCCAACACTAACCGTACCTAGCTGCCTCATCACCGCTTGCTGCAGTTGTGCTTAAAACTCCACACTCCAGCCATCTCTCCATCGACGTTCTGAGCCAGGTTGCTGTCCAAACAATGGGGGCAGGATGACGCAAGCTGCATCACATGGCGATGTCTGGGCCCCGAACTACTTCTCAGGTAGACCCAAGCTACACGGCTGCCAAAGCTGAATCCCTTGACGGGCTGGTTCAGCTTCAATGCACCCTCCGTGTAGATGGTTCCAGACATCCACACTTGTCCCCACTGCACTGGGCGTCGCTCTCCATCCAGCTTTCTGCTGCATCTCTTCTTCCATCATGATGATGATTTTCTGACTCTCTTCCACTTCCAGCACTTGGTTTCTCTCTGCAGTGGTCCCCATGCTTCAATTGAAAGTCTCGACGGTGCTTTATCAATGATCATGTCCCTGACATTTCTCCATCACTGCAGCGCTGGCCACAGTGCTAGCTAGCCACTGAAAAACAATAAAACTTGATCCTGTCTACGACGCTTGTGACCAGGGGAACACAGGATCTTCAAGTTTAGATGGAAAATGTACTGTTTTATTTCTCCTCAGTGGCCGCATGGCAGCAAAGCGCAGCCAGCGCTGTAAAACTTTCTTTAAATTAAAAGACTTTTATAACATGGGTGTGCTCTCGTTGGTGGCTAATACAAGACTGACCTGAAGAAAGCTAAACCACAGGATGTTGGCCAGTGCCTCACATTCCTGGGCAAACCACACAGGGATTATGAATAAACAGAGAAGGGGGTGATAAAACAAAGTAACTACTGTAGGAAACCTAGAGTCTAATGAATAATGAATAGGGTACATGTAGTCAGGCCTGGAGGTAATTACTTTTCCAGAAACTTGGAATGTGTGGCTGACCCACCCAGGGCCAAAGGACAGGTTTTCGCATGGTGGTTCTTAATAAATGAACAAAAATATAACATGTACATAAAACAATGTAGATAATAATAATTTCAATACTTGGAAAATAGGTGAACATAAAAACAATCCAAAACTTGTGAAAAAGAATCCCACGCATTGACTAATTGGGATATAAAATATTAAGAAAACTTTCAGTAGAAATAAGAAAAAACAAAGGTGCCAAAAAAGATAACATTGAAATATGCTTCAAATATTTCACCGGTTACACTTTCTTCTGTGCACATCCAATAAAGATATTGACGCACAACAAGCCAGGAAGCGGCTCTGAATGGCCGTGTTTTATCTCGTAAGGAAGATTGTTAAAGCTAACTTTTCACACAAATTCCAGGTGAAAACGCACGCATTCTGTGTAATTACTTGGAAAATGAATCTGGGGGTACAAATAATTGGTCCTAAAAATCGAAATCTTGGAGCAATTGTTGTTGTCATTCAAATGCAATTAGGCCACATGATTAAGACTGAATCTAGGTTAGGACCTGATATTGCACAGTGAGTTGTCACTCACGTGAGATGTATTTTAATGTGGCGCCTGTCTTTGTTGACAATTTGGCTCAGAACAAATCAATACAAACTCTACAGATGTTTCTTCTCTACAGACGTTTCTTCCATTTGAGAAAAAAATGCTCGCTTTCTTTGTTTACAAGACTTCAAAAATAACATAACATTTTACAATAGGTAACTTACGATATCCTGAATTTCCATCAGCGGGCAAGACGACTGATCGCGAGACCTCAGTGTATCTCCAATCAAATCTGGCGTTCCACAGACTGCATGGGCACGTGTCTGCGAACGGAGGATAGTGGATGGCAAATAGTGGGTACGGTTCCTGGCGGTGATACCAATTGTGGCAGGACAAACGCGGATTGACAAAACCGTCCGGGAGGCTGTCGAGTCGGTAGACCCAGCGTCCTGTCTTCCCTGTGTTGCCCACTATGCCACCGGGGCGGAACCGTGATTCATCGGGTATGTCTACATACACAGTTTCGCCAAAGACTCCGGAGGTGAAGCCCTGGATGACGTTCTTGTTGAGTAACAACTTAGCGTCCCAGTTCATGCCGCAGGGATCGTAATTGAAGACGACGAAAGCGCGGACTCCGTCAGTCACAAGCAAAGCTTGGAAGGTATTCGTCTCCTATTGAACAAAAACAAATCATGTCGCACTCATAATATGCTAGTTGTATTAAACAAATCCATACATTTGATTTAAAAGCAAAAATCAGTTTCAGGACAGGTCTTCATTGTAACCAAAACCCATCGCAACTTCCAAGTGAAACTGTAAAAAGACATCAACCACAAGAAATGTTATTCTTTGCTTTGCTTAAATAAACCCTTTCATGTACTGATTAACAAGTGCACATAAGTAAAAACTCCACCATGGTCTGTGCTCAAACAATTCGCGGTACTCAACCACGAGATAAACAGCTGCTGAATTGTATAAGATATCTGTATCAAAACGTGTTCAAGGTGTCAATCCTCTTCCATTATGCATCTGACTTTGGCCTTAAACGTTATCGAAATATTACATTTCTTATAATGTTGGAAGACTTACTTTTGAGGGTGATATGGCCTTTACATTTCTCCAGGTGATAGACAGAGCCCAGTTTGCTGAAAAACCACTGTAGTAGGCTGAAACTATGAGACTGACAACATCCAGCATGTTCTGGTTGACATTTGGATCATACTGATCGTGCACCTGCCGAGCAAAAGTTGGAATATAATGGTGAGCCTGGCCCCAATATACTTAAACATTGTACAAATTGTGATAAAAGCATCAAACTTCGCACGATGGTTCCTCATGCAATGAAGGAAATTTTCAGATCGTAAATGCAATTTGATGTCTGACCTCTGGTGACCTCTAAGAGGTCAATGAACTTTACAATAAATTGTGTTCTTTAAAACTTCACTTTCTTATGACCCATGTCATATGTCATACGTCATCATATAATGAAAAATAATGATCAGATGTGGGAACAATTCATATCTGACCTCTGGTGACCTTTGAGAGGTCAATGACTTTTTAAACCTGTTCATAGATTTGTTAAAGATTTATTCTTTAAGCCCCATTTTTTTTTCACGATTCATGTCTAAATGAAAGGTGTTCGTGCTATAAAGAGAATTTTAATATATAGGTCATTTCATATTCAACCTCCGGTGACCTTACGAGAGATCATGACCTTTGCAAAACCATGGCCGACTTATGGATCTTAATGAGAGTTACACAATTGTAAATGCCACTTTTTCATGACCCAAGTCTAAAACTTGACTCGTTCAATGAAAAGAATTCAAAAGAGGTCAATGAACTTTGTTCACCTTACTTGCCGTTATTTATCATATTTATTAGTCAAAACTCCATTTTTATCGTGCCAAAGAACGGTATTGCACCTATTAGTTTACAGTCATTTTATGAATTCAGACCCCACAAACAATTTTGAGGTGACCTCTGACCTCGTTTCTCCTTGTTTTATTGGCAGACGCAATATAATGAGATTGAAATAAAAATCTGTGCGGGTCTGTTTTGTAACGGAACATGTACATATGCCAAGTAATATTTACTCTTGTGTACTTATTACACCATGCCTTATCCAGATGGACTTGCATAGCCACGTAACCAAGCCCAAAGCTTCAATTTTGGGAGCTTTATTGTATGACAACAAGTCGAAATTGAGTGCGCGCAGCATGAAAAGAGTAACGAAATAGCATCACGCGTGGCTGGAAATGAACTCTTTCTTTGTATGTGTATGTGTTATTTATGTGGAATTTTGAAAGATGTACATTTGTGACTGGTATTAACATTGGTTTTTTTTTTTTGGCAGTATCTGTTTTGTCTTTTTGTCCGTGTGTCCAGTGCAGGTCCATGAAGAAGGAGATGAAGAAGAAGAGAGAGTGATATGCTTGTCCGATGTGCCGCGTATAGTCTTTCGCATCTGTGTCTGTCCTTATACGAAGGAACATTGAGATCAGAGGTCATGCAAAAAATTCTTTAGCGTCTGACTTCATCACAGTCATGTTGTAGAATCATTTTTGAAATGCACTCATGTTGCTCTAACTAGACTTCGGTCATGAAAAAAAAAGGTGTTTGGAGATTAGACGTGATAAATAACGGCAATCAGGCAATACAAGTTCATTGACATCGCAAACATCATCAGAGGTCAAATATGAAAGTTCTATATATCTGAACATTCATATCATGGCAAGACGACCCACAATTTAGATATGGGTAATGTGGTGTTTTGAACAGTTAATCCTCTTTTTATCTATAAATAGGATTTGTAAAACTCATTGACCTCTGCAAGGTCATCAGAGGTCAATTGTGATTTTTTTCACAATTGACAATCGTTATTTACAATGTATGAAGACTATAAATACTTCGTCATGTGAAAGTAATGTTTTCAAGAACAATATATATAGAGTACTCAAAGGTTATTGACCCCTCAAAGGTCACCAGGGGTCAGATATGAAATGCCTCCATGTCTGAAATTTTGTTGTCATGGTGTGAAGACCTCACATACCAAGTTTTATGCTGTTATCACAAAATGCACAATTCTGTCCCTATGCCCCACCACTTGTATGAAAAAATAAACACTGGTGCCGGATGACCAGATTAATGGGTTTATTTACGTCTAGACAAGGCGAACAAAATGTATCTCAGATCTAATGAGCGCAAACTGCAACTGTTTAACTTTGTCTCTGTAGATGTAAAATGTCACAAGGATTTCTTTTTACCAGTAGACCTTCAAACTCGAAAAAATTACGCAATCCACCGATTGAAGTGAATATATTAAAGAAATAATTTTTAAATGCGGCTACAGTCATGTGAAATGTCATGGCCTAGCGGTTAAGAGCACCGGACTGTGGCTTTGGTGTTTCAGAGGAAAACAAAGGCGTGGGTTCGAACCAGGAAAACAAAGGCGTGGGTTCGAACCCGGGCCCGGACACTTGTGCCCGTAAGCAAGGCACTTATCCATTATTGCTTCGTCCTTCGGATGGGTTGTAAAGCCGGAGGTCCCGCGTGTTGTGTAATGCAATGCACGTAAAAGAACCCAGTAACACTTATCGCTAAGAGAAGGGGTTTGCCCGGTGTTTCTGGCCTCCTAGTCATACTCCCTTGTGACAGGAGAAGAACCAACCAAGTACCAAGTAGAAGATTTCCCTTTATTAAACTATAACGATATAATTAAAACAATAATTAAAACAAACCAGTTTGGCAAACTGAATTCAGCAAAATATAATCATTTACAACGATAAGTGGGAGACGTACCTGCCAAAACACATTATCTGTGGCAGTGAAGGCGTTAGCTCTGACGTCCGCCCAAAACGGCGCTATCATCGCCCTGTCACCGGGGAAAGTTTTACCCCGCGGACTGGGGAACGCTCGTTTATCAAGGCTTTGGTCGTTGGACAGGACAATCACTCCATTGTCAGTAAACTGCAGAAAGAAAGGATGTATATATTCACATTGAAGCATAAAAACGAGAAGTAGTGTTGAAGAGCCCATGTCATGAATTTTCCGTGGGAACATATTCTGTGAAATCTTTTCTTCCTCTGAAGTGTATGTTGACTTTCTTTTTTGATTTATTTTATTGAAAAGCGCATTTCTTTTAACAGTTATAATTTTCCCAGTTTTTCCAGACAAACGAGGGCGCTGTTGCTGTGATGTCGTTTCAGGGAGACAATATGTGCTGTTCAAGGCTTTCTGTTCAAATTGTGAACCCAGTCATTGGAAACCCTTTTTATTGGAAAATGTGCTCAATGGTGTACTGTCATGTACCCAACAACAGCGAATTAACAAAGACTTCTAAAACATATAACACATTCTGGCAATTTATTTTTGTGCTGAAATGGATGTAGCATTAAGGTTTCTGCCTGAATTGACTTCACAATTTTGCTTATGAATATGCAAATTCTCTTGAGCATAAGATCAAAAAAAAAATATCAAAATGAAATAAGGTTAAAAGGGACAAAAAAGGTGGTTTTACAAAGACAGTATTAAAAAAATAAATCACATGGACCCTTTAATGTCAATAATGTGTAGCGGGTCTTTCTTGCAAAAACTCAGCATCAATAGTCAGCATCAAAGAGCGCACAAAATCAGCTGAGCATGGTAAAAGATCAGGACATGAATGTTATTAATGATGAAGTGCAACGTACCGCGTCACGACGTGATCAATATGTGACTTTCCAGGATGTTAACTCAAGGGAAAAAAGGTGTCTTGCGATTGATGATGTTAAAATACTGCAAGTGAGACTTACGCAATCCCCCTTGCGCAAATCCCAGTGTCCCTAACCAAAATGGAAGATTAGTATTGTTTTAGCAATACTGAGTTTGACCTTCGACCTGTGGGTCCCAAAATTAACAGGCTTCTTGAGACTATCAAAAACAAGCCACAAACAAAATTTCAGTTCCTAAGTAAAGCATTTCTCAAGTTATCGCGTTGACAACATTTCTTTTGTTTTATGAATAGTGACCTTGACCTTTGACTTGTCGGCACCCAAATCAACAGGTTTCTTATTGTCTTTTGTATACTCACGTATAGCTTTTCGTAAAGCTTGCTGCCGAAGGGAAAGAAGTTTGGTGGATAGATGGTAGGTGATATCAGATCCTTTGCTGAGCGTGGCTGCAAGATAAATACACAAGGAGCCGATGCCAAATCAAAATTCACAAGTCATCATAATTCTATCACAAGTCGTGAGCCCATAAACTGCGACAAGGAATTCCTCTGCCTATTAACTAATATTGTGACCTGACTGATTTGATTTCTGTTAACTCGTGACTGGCTAGATCACATATGTGATGGTTTGATGACATTCTTATAATGGCCTACTGACATGTGCCATTGCAGGCTACTTTCTGCAGGAATCACACGCAACTTTTATATGCAGTCAACCAACACCACACTTTTAACACAGGTACAACAAAGTTATACTTGAAACACTGACAGCATTGTAAAGCCTTAATTTTACTTTCGTGCTTTCTGAGCATCATGTCCAAGTTAATACCCGGATCAATACATTTGGGCAGACTCCTTTTTGTTTTGTTTTAAACATGCATCTCAAAACTTACCCCTTGCCGTTTCCTTGACAACAGGGAGTCTCCAATTTCTTCTCCAAATGGGACGAGATTGCCCTCTATAAAAACCAACAAGAAAAACTTGACAATCACTACCCAATGCACAGTGACATGTCCTATCTCAAGAGCGTGGAACACTCTGGCTCATTGTCCAGTGTCAAACTCATTTGCCACAACATGTGGGTTTTGAACCCATATGTTACAACCCGTGTTTACCACGGCACTAGATTGTGCTTGTGTCCATGGGCAAGACACTTAACTATATTTATCTCTTTACACTAAGCAGAATAACCGAGTGCCTTTGTTGATCGAGATCAGATCGCGCAGATCGCCAAGTGCTGAATACAGGGGTACTGATTGTGAAGCGATTTGATCCATCTAAAATAAATTCTCAAAACAACACATTTTAAAACTTGGTACTTATCAATGTGTGAAAAAAATATCTTTTACAATCAAAGTTTATTTTCAGATGAATTGGAATAACTAAAAGATCTCTCCAAAATTCTAACTCAGTTCAGGGCAGAACTAGTGGCCTAAGCTCTAGCATCAGATTCGGTGCGAGGCTATACATTGTATTGATGTTCTGCACTTGTTTCAAGAGAAGAGACTGACTGGAAGGTGCTATCGTAACTACAGGCTGAGTAAAAAAAAAAGCGAAACCCAAAATGTCGCGACTATTATTCTAGTAAAGTTCTGCATGTAGCACTTTCAAAATCTAGGATATTAAAGCCCACGTCTTAAGCATTCTTTTAGTACAAGAATCATTGGAATCACTTATGTATTTTTCCAGTTACGGAATTTTAAACACAACCACCGTTTTTAAGTTTTGTCCACGGAGCAACACAAAAACAATTCACACACATCCCTAGGTGGTTTGTTTCCTTTTTTTGCTGAAAGAACATTTACCGTTTTGTGATCCGTTGACAGAACTTTAAAACGGTGGTTGTGTTTAAAATTTTGTAACTTAAAAAGTACATGACAGATTTGAATGATTCTTGTACTAAAAGAAGGCTTATGAATTGGGCTTTTAAATCATGTATATTTTGAAAGTGTTACATGTAGAACTTCACTTAAACAATGGTCCCGACGTTTTTTTTTACTCACCCTGTACTGTGCTTTTACATTTAGCGTGTTTTAATTTGATCTCAGTGTTCGCTTCGGGAAATAAATTAGCGAGAGTGCCACGAGGCGCAACTTTGAGGGAACTCTCACGTCAAGACATATCTTTCCATGCTTTTTGCGGCCCAAAAATTAGGAATGCATGAAGTTAGGTAGTTTTTGCTTTCAGTGAAATCATAATGAACATACATTGTATTGTAATAATACAACTTTCGAGTACGGTAGCAAAACCTGAGCATGGCCGCAAAACCTTTAGCAGGGTAGACCGCCTCCCCCCACCCCTAAAAAAAAACCCTCGGGAGAACACTGTCTTACCCATGACAATGAACGTGAAGTCCTTTGACTCTGAACACCCAACATCATTGACAGCACAGCATGTGATGGTATGTGGCCCTACACCAAATACACCTCCTGCAATACCGACACCAACGCCATCACCAGAATCTGTGCAATCGATGGTGACTTCACCAGCGTCCATGGCTTGAACCTCGGTCCATGTCACTGTAGATGTGTTCATGCCTGGATCCGTGCACTGATCACCGACTGCCGGTACTGTCAGAGACGGGAAATCTATACGGGAACAAATGATCAAGATTGTACCTTTGCCGCATCACAAGGAAACTGCTCTTCTCAAACATCTCCAAACCTTTATTTTCCTTGTTTTAGACACTCGCAATTATTTCAACGAATATCGAAAAAAAATATTGAAAAAGTTTCGAGCAACTACGTCTTTTGCAGTAACTTGGAACGATTCAAGTGCTTAGACAGTCAGAAGATTAACACGTAATAATGGGAACCTGCGCGGAGTACCTGTCTGAAACTCGTACCAAAAAAAAAATACAAACATGCTCATCATAATTATGAATGAAAGGTTTGTGAAAACACGCATGTGCGAATAATTTATCAACTAAGCAAATGGTTCTGAAAAAAGCAGAGGTTTAAACTCGACATTCCGGTCAGTATGCTCTGACCGTTGTCACTCTTTTGAAGATGGTCTGGGCATACTGACCGGAACGTCAAATGTATATCTCTGGTTCTTTTCAGAACCATCCTCTTAGTTGAGAAACTATTCGTATTTTGATGTTTCCGCAAACCTTTCATTCATTAGTATCTCCACCATGCAAAGCCACACATCTTACTTATGCTCATCATAATGTTAACGTGGCATATACTGATGACGTGCGGGCAATGATGGTTCTTTAATTGATGATGGTGGTGTGGGGAGAGTGGTGATGGTTAAGACGGGGATGATGGCAATGATGATGATCACAATGACAAAGGTGGGTAGGTTGATGGAGATGATGTCGCATTTTATACAACACCTGAATAAATCCCAGTCATCTTATTGGTGGATCGTTTATCACATGTCATTGAATTATTCGAACCAACGCACGGCGCGCGCGTGGCGCACAGTGCAATGGAAGTTCTATTGCACTGTGAATAGAACTTCCATTGCACGGTGCCACTGCTGCTGGTGGCACTGTTTTAAATCGAGAAAAATTGATCCTGTCCAACAGTTCGCATTAATATAAATATGACATACTTGTCGAACTTTTACACAGTTTTGTCCTGATTAAACTGGCTATTAAAAGTCAACCAATCAGATGACAAGGATTTATTCAGGTGTTATATAAAACAAATAATGAATGTTTCACGTTCGTGCAACGGAAAGAATCATTTCATTCGGTGACAGATGAAATGTTCCTCATCTGTCACCTCATGAAATGATTCTTACCATTGCACTCTCAAACATTCATTATTTGTATAAAGTCGGAGTTTTTGATGATGTTAACATTAATATTAATGATGACAAGGTGATGAAGAAGATCACGACAATCATATTGATCGTGATTATAATGAAGATAATAATGTTGACTATTATTAAATTGAAGGAATGTGATGGCCCTTATCCACTTTAGGAAGTTGGAGATGGAATTAATATTGTTATGACATGAGCTCTAAAAAAAAAGGACAAATTACCTGAAACACTGAAAGAGATCAGGCAGTCTGGGAAGGCATTAGTTGCCGAGGAGCAGACCACATGGTGCATCCCAACACCAAACACACCCCCGGTAGTCCCCACAGTGGCTCCGTCCAAGGAATCTCTGCAAGTTACGTCGGAGCTAGTACCCGGGGGGCCAAGCGTCCAACTGATTTGCGCGGACGACTGTCTGTCGGCAAGACAGCGATTGTCCACTTCAGGAAACTGCAGAGTGTTACTGTCTGAAAAATAAACATCGAAAAAACCGATGACCCTGTCTCCCTCTCTGGCTGAGAATTTTAGCTACGCCATCACAGTGTTCAAAATCAATCAAGTGACTGTTTTAACAGTTACAAATTCCCTGGTGAATTTAATATGGCCATGCTTTGACTGGAGGTGGTTGATAGTCCTTCTGTATCAACAAGTTACCTCTTTTGTCTGTTGATGGAATTTGACCGCAGTGTTAGCACGAATGTGGTTTGACTGTTTTTTTTCTAGCCTGTTTTTTTTACTAGCCATACCAATCCATGGAGAGGAGGTAGAAGAAGTTATGACTAAAGGCAAATATTTTATTAATTGAAAGAGGTTGATTGGATGCAAACATTGTACCCTAATGGATTTGCCTGTTAGGACTCCCAATTATTGGTTCATATTCACAGTCATTCTTATTTTTCTACCTAACATCAGATTTGGACAATAAAGCTTACCGCTGTCACAGCGTGGCCCGGAGTGCCCAGGATCGCAATGATCGACATCTGTGCAGTTTGAATATGGTTCGCCTGGTCCCGTACATTCAACTCCCTCAGCGGATTCTGTTTACATAACATTAAACACAATAACCATGGCAGTGCAGGAACTTAAAAAACAGTGGGAACGGATCTGCGACATATAGCCAGAATCCTATTCCTTTATATGACCTTTAGTGTAAAATTGTACAAAAAGTGTACCTTTCTATTACGTTTTTGGGGTTTATTTCATGCTAACTAAACGTTTCAGGTTCAAAAGCACTGGAGTGATATTATCCTTTTACAGTCGACTTTCATTATAAAGAGCACTTAATAAAGAGGTTCTACTTATAAAGAGCAAATTCTGAGGTCCCAAATCTCAGGTTCCCTTTTTTTGTTTCTTTGTTTCGCTGTCCTTTTATAACAACATTCCTGTTATAAAGAGGTAATTTGGCTAGTCCCATCGACCTTGTTATAACGAGAGTCGACTGTAACAATAATGCTTTCACAGCACTTTATACCAAAGGTCTCAAAGCGCTATACAATTATTACCCCTGCTCAACAGGCCATTAGTCCAGTTTTTGCAGCAGCTCGCGATCAGCATAATATGGTCTCTATTTTCACAGGTATCCATTTCTACTCCTGGGTGGAGAGAGGCAATTGTGGTAAAGTGTCTTGCCCAAGAACACAATCACAATGTTCCCCGTCAGGGTTCGAACTCACGCATATATACAGCAAGTGAGTCGAACACTGTAACCGTTGGGCCACAGCGCTCCTAGGAAAGAGCTTCATGGCATAATTTTTTTTATGTAAAAAACACGCCTTCGTTGCGAAGTGTACAATTTTGCTTGAGTGTCTAGTGGTCAGCCATGACAGAGCAGCTCTGATCAAAACGGATGTCGTCCTGACCACCTTACTACTATCTTCATTTTTTTCAATCTACAAATAAAAGTCCTCTCCCAAACCTTCGCAGTGGAGCAACCCTGACTTTAAAAAGCTTTCCACAAAACATTATTTTGGTTTGGATCTTTCCTGCAGGTTTTCTATTGAAATATTTTTCTGATTGAAATGATTTATCTTTTTTTTTTTAACTTACGAGAACAGTCATGGCCGCAGTTTCCATAGAAACAAGTGCAGTCGAGCCCTTCGTTTGACGTACAGATGCAGTTTGGTGGATATCCGGTTGCTTCACAGAATGTTCCATCTGTTGTAATGCAATAACCACAACGTTTACATGTACACTCTGACAACTATTTTCACAGGGTAGTAGGACACACCCTTTCTTCACTAGGAGAAAGGTTTTCCTCATTAAATCTGTCTGTCCTTTTCCGGGTAATTACCAACGCTTCTACTTGCCTTGCAGTCTATTACATGTGAACAGATTTGCAGATTGGGCAAGACAACCGCCTCTTGAGCTCTACCTTTTGACCAATCAGCGAGCGCTTTCGATATTGGGTCTTCGGTCATTCACCCGTTGCACGTCATAGACAATGGGTAGCAAAAAAACCCCAAAAAACCGTTGACACGCGCTCTGTATCATGTTACGTGCAAACGCGCCCGGCTGTTGTTGTATTACAAAACACTGCATTCGAATTGAACAATCAAACCATTTTAGTCCTGATTTGGGAATAAAATGCCGTCACGATTGAGTTAAGTCGACTTCGATTGGCTGGCGCGTGGCTTGCATTATATTTGCATGTCTAGACATATCAGACGCTATACAGGAGACTTGCTGCGAGTATAACGGTGATACTCAGGCTACTTGACTTGAAGGTCTTGTAAATTCCTTTCTCAATGATTCCATATTTTCCGGGTAATTAATTGCTTCTTACAAGCCTTCATGTCTTCGTAACTCTAACACTGCTCTCAGACCTTTTAATTCCTTTTTATACATTTGGTTACTGTATCCTTTTACATGATATGAAATATTGCACACATCAAGCTGCACCTACCGGAAACTTCTGCCACCGTCACGTATGTATCACAGTCTGCAGCGTAGGAATTGTCAGTAGCGGTGTAGCGCACCATGTGAGGTGATGCTCCCAGACTGAGAGTCGTGGTGTCGCCCACCTCGTATATCGAGCCGCCAATGTTTATGCTGATGGCATACTGGCCGGAGTTGTCGGATGCAGACTGGACGTCGGGCAAGGAGACCGTTGAGTAGCTCTTCCTGCAGTCCGTGTAGACTGTGAAGTCGGCAGGGCAAGTGATGCTGGGCGGTTCCACATCTGGGAATGACCGTAAAAATCAAATATTTTTTTCGAATATTTAACTTCAGGTTAATTCAGTCAGAAATAGTCAGTTTGTAGCAGTGTTATATCTTAAAACATGATTAAATATAATTGTACCCAACATAATTAAAAAGGGAACAATTTATGTATATGTTGTACAAATGTTGAAAAATTTAGAAATATCAGATTTGATCGCTGACTGTTATTTATCAATGCCTGCATTACAGAATGTTTCTGGAGTTTGATATCCACCACCCTATCTTCAGATTACAAGTACGTTGGAATGCAATTTATTCTTTTTCGTTTACAAAGAAACCATACGATTGGGAAAAGTAAACACGGTGTTCAAGTTACCTGTGCAATACACGCCGTTTCCTGCATATCCAGGTCTACAGGTGCAAGTGAAGCTTTCGAAGGTATCATTGCAGATCGCATTGTCGTCGCAGTTGTGCAACGGCGCGTCCGGGTTACATTCATCGACAGCTACAGGATGAATGAAGCACAAGACAAAATTGAAAAACTCCCGCCACTAAATAACTTTACACTGTAACCACTGTAAGAATTTGAAATGTGAAAAAAACCGCAGACCTAAAAGTAGTGAAACGTGTTTCATACGTGGTTTCACCACATATTTGTAATAGAAATTTCAGTTTGCAGGACAGCCGTGTTGATTGGTTTAACCATGTTCAGAAAGAAAACGCCTTGCACAATTGTCACACAGACCACTTGTACAAGTGGCCTTGTGACAAACAGCACAGTCGCTGTGCTAAGTAATCATGTGCTTGGGTAGTGTATACCCTTCACTTAATCAACCCACTCTATGCGGACGTGGTTGACACTATCAGTACACCATCTGGAATAGTTTAACCCCATATTATTAAACACCCTCCTGTTCACTTGGCCTGATTTAAGGTAAAGCACGCGCGCTGTTGTATTTTTAAGACATTCGCATCAATATGTGCATACGTAATATGCCATTCTTTATCAATATCTTTGCTGATTATAACTTTAAAATGCCTCTCCAATTAGCTAACTGCCTCTGACCTGGTTGAGCGGTAGTAGTTGGGATCATTGCCCCCTGGCAATGCTCAATGTAGTCTGAACAGCAGTCTCCTGTCAGTTCGCACGCAGCGTCGCACCAACAATCTCCGGTCCGAGGACCGTCTAAAAAGCACCGACCGACACAGCTATCTATGGAGGAAAAGAAGACAAATATATGAAGGTCATAGTGTGGGCACAAAGAATCATCTAAGAAAAATACTTTTCTCGGTCAAATCATAAAAAACCGTATTTTATCCATGGATGTACGTAAGAAAATCCAAATTCAGCAACTCTCTATGACTGTGGAATCATTTGCGCAGCGTATAATTTCAATACTCGCTGTCCATCAACAGATGTGTGGACTACATATTCAGTTTTCTTCCAATCTTCCATTGAATAAAAACCCTGTTGTACTGATCATTTGCCAAGAGCTTTAGTAGCTATCACAACCTTTGGTTTAAGTGACAAAACGAGTAATTGAGAAGTCAGTGCAAAAATCATATTGGGCTGGTACACCATGGTGTATTAATTAGAAAATCAATTCTCACTGTTCATTGCGAATTATCAGGAAATTAAGAAACAATTCGTAAGCTGTCGATTCCTCTCCTATCTTCCTCTTTATCGCACTTCACATTTATCTTATGAAGAGTGTGGCCTAGTGGTTAGGATTTGTGAATCCAGCTGCTGGCCATATGTTTTGTCCTCGGGCAAGCCATCCCCCCCCACCCCCCTTGCCACTTTCCACACAGGAGTATAAATGGGTACCGGCATTAGCTGGGGAGTAACCTACGATGGACTAGCATCCCATCAAGGCGGTACAGAAATATTTTCCCTTTTTTATCATTAACTTTATCCTTGTGAACTACATTGATTTGAATATTATTTACCTTTTTAATTAAAAAGAACACCCACATGATTTCCGCTTAACATAGGCCTACCGCAATTTTGTTCATCAATGTCGTCAAAACAGTCCAGTTGACCGTCACATCGCCAACTGCCATCAATGCAGACAGAGTGACCGCAGTCGAAGTTGCGCCACGAACATGGTAGGGTGTCTAAAATAAAGAAAGGAACATGGAATGGACCGTTATAGGCATAATGAAGAAGGGCAAAATGCGGGTACCTGAGACAAATACCGTTCATTAACTGGTCTTTTTACAGCAGAAACTTAGGTCGACATACAGAAAGACATGCGACATCACGCTTATTACAAGTCATTTTTAAGATTGCTTCCCCATCCACCCCCAAAAACATGCAGGTAGTATGTATGGGATAAATCAGGCCTTGTTTGAGGATCTGTGTTTGAGAATCTCTGTGGACCAAATGGATCCCCACACAGATCCACCACACAGACCCTCAAACAAGGCCTGATTTACCCCACACATACTACTCACGCTTTTAATGAATTATCGGAGGAACAAATCCTTATTTAATATTTAATATTAAATTTATTGGTGCGTAACAATAATCCGAAGCCTTTTTTAGATGTTGCAGAGGTTTTCTGCAAATTAAAAACATACCAATTGAAAATCATTGGAAGAAAAAATAACATGGGGCGACCATCTTTAAATTGATGTCCTGTGATAAACTAAACGGAAATTCAAATTGGAAAGTCCCAATGCGGCAACAGTTTGACACTTGAAACGGTGTCCTAACAGTGCTGTAGTTCTGTGGTTATACTTTACGAGTCTTCAAAGCTATAATATAATACTGCAATTTGATGTTGAATTTGGTTTTGGTTTTGACAAAATGACAAATCCTAATTTGTTTAGTACACTTGCATTTTCACAAATTTGTTTCTATGCGGCAAATGTAATTTCCTTAATTCCATACTCCAGGGTTGTTCAAAAATTGGGCTAGTCGCATCAGATATACGTTTTCCTTACTATTTGGTGAAATTATTACACCGAAACTCGATTTAATAATCGATTGTCTCTAAACGTGATATTCTCCAAACTCTGTTTTGCTCATGTGTGGGTGTCGATTCGTCACTTCATGAAAATGTTGAGGGTACTCTACAAGAAAGGTATGCTTCATCTCTTCAAGAATACAGACAATGCACAAACACACATGCAAACAGAAAGCAACGGTGCTTACAAGTTGATGGTACACTAGAAGCGGTCAATACAAATCTCCAAACCGAATTCTTGCCAGAATCCAAACTGAGCCACATCGTCCGGCCATCGGAGAGTAGCTTTGGTGGAAACCTCCACCGGTGTGAAACATAGAACGTGTCGTTAGCGCCGCTGTCACCTGCCTTGAATATGCCGCGACGAGAAGAAGAAATTGAAAAGGTGTGGAAAGTGACGAGAACCCTTCGATTCACCTCTGTCTGTATGGTCCAGGTTGTTTCTAGGTTTCTCGGGTAGCGGCTGGGATAAAACGGATCTGTAATCCGGGCATTTTCGTTCGCACCGAGAAATATCGTGCGATCTAACGAACAAGAAAAAAAAAAGAAAACAATTACTCCTTCAAGATAGTTTTGAAACTTGTGCCTTCCATGCAGACCCATGACACCTAACAAATACCAATAATTACAAATAGGTATTCTTTTATTTTTTCTATAAGAATCAATATATAACATTAACCTGATGAGGAAAAGAATACATGGTCATTGACAATATGGAGTGAAAATATCTAGTAAATGATAATCGTTTGATCGAAACACAAATGTTCTTTAAATATCATGATTTCCAGCGTTCGGCCTATTGTCACAAAATCGGATTTTCTGTTTTGAATCAGGTCAGTATTATGAAAAATTGACACAGAAGATCCCTTGTTAATCTTCCTGGAGTCACCAGTCACGTCTTAAAAATACACACTTTGTGTGTTTGTCACAATTTAGTTGACATGAAAACGTGTAAACATATTTTGTTTTAGTTTTGTAGCTAAAATAATGCAGTAATACTTTTTTCTCGATAGTAAGGCAATTAGGTTCTTACTGTCACAATTGATTTCATCACTTCCATCCAAACAATCAATTACTGCATCACACTTCGAAGAAGTACTTATGCAGACTGAATGCCCACAGTCAAACTCGTCAGTCGAACAGGTTAATCCCTCTGTGAGACAAGATAAAAACAGTGTACTGATAAAACTTAAGCAGTTGCATGATGACAGTTGTATAATAAAAGTTAATTAGTAAAGGTTGTATGCAAAAAAATAATAAGCAAAGTGTCATTTTACATACTTTATTGGCTATGTGCTAACAGCTCTAGCCAACAATGCCTTTCGGTAAATTCATTACGCAGTTTACATGTATATGAGCAAGGGCCTAATTCAATGGCTCTGCTTACCAAAACTACCAAAAACAAAAACTCCATTCTACTGTACCAGAAACGTTCAGTTAGGATATTTGAAGGGTTAACAATGATTTGGTATTACAGGGTCAGTCAAAGAACGCGGAACCCAAACCCTCAAAAATGTATTTCATATAAAAAAAAATATGCAGCACAAAAAAATAATTACTGGAAAGCCAATTTCATAAGCTACTTTCATATCAAAAAAAGGGAGATTGCTCGATCCATTCAAAGAATATCGCCATTCAAACGCGATGACCCCGAACTTGTTTCGTCTAAAGAAGCACTTTATTGTGTATTCTGACAAAGTAAAATGACAAAGTAAATTACACAGAGCACTTGTTTCACCAATTGTCAACAACAGTTGTAGTGCACAATATCTTTATTAACAACCCTGGTTAAGCAAACAATATGGTTTATAAAATCCACTTTTTTTTTAAACACGGGCCTTGAAAAGGACTTTGTTGAATATTTGTAACTTTGAAACTGAGGTTTTATCGCCGGTGATGTTTGAAGACAATTAAGACGATGATTCTTGAAATCGCATTTTTGGACGAAAGAGGTTTTAGGCTCATTGTGTTTAATGATGATATTTTGTTGAACACATTCAGCAATTTCAGTGCTTTTGTTCATCTAAAAGTAGCTTATGAAATTGGCTTTCCACTCATCAAGTTTGGTGCTACATATTTTTCTAACTAAATATGAAATATAATTTTGGGGTTTGGGTTCCGATTTTTTTTGGACTCAATTATGCTTGCTTACATTTTGCCTGCAACTACAGATTCTGTGCCAAACAAGATTGATTTTTACTAGCGCTGTTGGCACAAAATGGTGTCATCAGAAGCGCATGATTATGTGGTTCGCAGAGCCATGACATTGAACCCTGCAGCTGCTTGCTTTACCTGTAGCTGGCACGCTGGCAACAGACAACAAAAATCCGCGATCATTGTTACTGCTATCTGATTTGAAAGTAAGCCACATCACCGGACCACTGGACAGCAGATCAGGCGGAAGCTTGTACCAACTCCATCTGAAGAATGAGTTGTCTGTGGTCCTGTTGCCGTCTCCTGCCTGGACAAAGTCAGTCAGATGCTCGGTTCGGAAGTCGGAGAAACGGACGCGAATCTTGCGGTCTTCTTCGGTGTGGAAGATCCATGTTATCTCAATGTTAGACGAATACGAGGAGGGATAGCGTGTAGACCCAAGCTCGGCTGTTTCCGTTGCCCCCAGGAACACAACACGATCTTTGTCTGTATAGAAACAGAAACATAGGTATCTGTAGCTTAAAGAGCCCGTTTGTATATTTACATTCTTAAATAGTTAGAATGTAAACTTTTAAAGTAAATGAGGCATGTCGCCTTCTTCTATGTCCTCTATTCAATATTTCTCATTTGTTTTGCCAAAAAATGGAGGGAAAAACCTCTGAAATGCAGTGGCTTCGGGCAAAATGTTTATACACAAGTCATTAAAAAGAATTCCAATTGATTGAGCACATTTGCCTATAAGGGTTTCTTTGAATTGCATAACAAAATGTATATACATGAATAATACAAGAGAATAGAAAACAAAAAATAACACAATGGTGAGCGCTGACCAGATACCAGACATTGTTTTGTTTGACAAAAAATAATCAAACTTTGCTCAAAACATGATCAATGTCAAATGAATTATTTACCACAGTTATGCTCGTCACCCTCTGCAACTAACAAGCAATCAACTTGGCCGTCACATTTCCAAATGTCAGGGATGCAGACTGAGTAATGACCACAGTCAAAGTCACTTGGGGAGCACATCAAGATTTCTGCAACGAAATCAAACGACTGTTAATTCACCGATCTCGGTTACATCACAGAAAAGTTAAAGGGAAGAGTCATTTGTCAAGGACGTTATAAGTTAATGTGAATATTTCTTTCCACAAATCTTGGCACCAAAAGCCTGTCATCTAGCCTGACCAAAACGTATCAGCGTTCATAATAAACCAACATGAATGTTTACAAGTCACATAATTGTTCACGCATTGAGCGAGAATGCTGAAAGTCAGTTCACAGAGTTTCAAGAGAGTTGTTTCTATTTTCGAGATAAACGAAGAGGTTGTATTCGACACCTTGCAATAGAAATTTACAACAAAGTACATGTACGGCCCCGGTACATTGTCTTACCCGAAGAAGGTACAGAAGAAGCCTCTAAAGAAAATCCAGAGCGGCTACCATACCCGTCAGAGGTAAATCGAAGCCACATGTCACTGCCAGTGGATAGAAGATCAGGAGGCATTCTAGACCCATGCCACTTAAAAAACTGAGTGTTGGCTGCATTGTTACCATCTCCCGCACAGAGCAGGTCATCACCGTAGTAAGTATAGGTTGAAAAGCTGAAAAATTTCATGCGAATCTTCCAACCCACTTCGGTTTGGACGATCCAAGTAATATTCAGGTTGTTGGGGTAGTAGTCTGGATATGACGTCGAGCTAATGCGAGCTGTCTCATTGGCCGGAATAAACAGCAAACGGTCTTTATCTGAAAGGAAACCCAAAACAATCACTGACCTTCTCTATTGTGTAGGGAACGTTGTGGTAAAAAAAGGTAAAAGTCCCATAGACATTACTGGCCGCAGGGGCAGTGGGATGCTATAGGTGGCATATAAGTAGCGGGGCCCATCTCCTCTCTTCTCGCCGTCTTAGCTTCCCAGAACGAATCAGGCACCTATTTTTCCACCCGAATGGAATTCGAATCGTTCGGTAGCTCCACGCTCTAACCACTCACTTTTTTATGCAAGGTATATCTGAGCCTTAACAGCAAGAATCTAGTATTTAGTAATATAGACTGCTGACGGTCTTCCGCCCAAATGCGATTTGTTTTTCTTAAACGACATCCGCGTGGGGTGTACGCTGTGGCGTTTTGGACTTTACTTCTCTAAAAAACATGAGAAGAATATAAAAAATTAGAAAAAAAAGAAATGAATTCGGTCAACCCCTCCGAGCTCTGTCAACAAAAATCATAGAAATTCCTTAAAAAATAAAGCGACACCCCCCCGCTCTCGGACACCCCCTAAAAACTGGTAATAATGTCCGCCTGTGCCCACAATACGGACAGAGCCAGCTTGGTTAGGGGGTATTTGTACACTATTCTGTAAAGTAGTGTTAATAATCGTCGGATTTGAACAGCGCCCCGATTGAAATAATGGCACGAGCCCCCCCCCCCCCTCCACCCTCCCCCCTACCAATTGATTGTCCGGAGAAAAAAAAACTATCTACATTCAAATTTTTTTGCTGATAACCTCCCCCCCCCCCCCCCCCCCCCGCTGTGAAAATTCCTGGATCTGCCCCTGAATTCACACTGAAGCTGGCCTGTTTTCTGGTAGTAGGTATGTGGGCAGGAAGAGAGTTCCATATTCGGGCCGTAGATGGTAAAACAGACCTTTGATGGCTGACCGGGCTTGAACTTGGTACCTCAACTGCCAGATTATGTGATCGGACAGACTGGAGTACTGGAGCCTCCTGATATATATTTTTTTCTCTCAGAAAAAGTTATTCACCGAAACAAGTTTAATTTAATAACTTTATCATTACCGCAGTCCAACTCATCATTGTCATCTACGCAGTCTGAGATGGTATCACACTGCAAGACGTTGCTAAGGCAGACCGAATGTCCGCAGTCCACGTCACCCAAAGAACAAACCAGAGCTTCTGAAAGTCAAAGCGAAGAAAATCAAGGAAAACAATTGTTAGTTCTTGACACATAACGGCCCCACTTCCCGCTACAGCCATGAATTGAGACTGGCCAGTCAGTATTCTATTGTAATCACTGATAATTCCCGAGTTAATATGGAAAATGATTGTATGCATTATGTATCATCATAAACATGCGGTTTCACCTAAACCTTTGTTGACATTTTACAACAAGAGAAGAGAGGTTATTCGTAACTGGGAGGCTAGGGATTTCCATTAGAGAGGCAAACAAACAAGATTTGATAACAACACATGTATAAAATGTTACGCTGGATAGGATTTCAATTCTCATTTTCAAGTACTCCACGCAAAAACAAAGTAGTCAATACAAATTGTGTGCATGTGGGTCATTCTATAAATTAACAGTCCAAACTTTGTAATTTGCCATTCAAGTATCATTGATATTGACTAGATTTTTGTTATATTCCTTGAGGATGATTTGTTCTTCACTTCATCAGTTTGGAGGAATAATAAAGACCACATTAAAGATCGCATCCATGTAATCATGTGCGTCAGATGCAACAGGGGCAGGAAATCCACAGATATATGCCTACCTGCTAACGGGACGCTCGTAGCAAGTATGCGGAAGTTGTATGAGCTAAACGACTTTCCGCGCTCAAAGGTTATCCACAACTTATTCCCGTCTGACAGCAGGTCTGGGGGCCTATACCTAGACCTCCTCCATTCAAAAAAGACACTTGTGTTGTTGGTACTATCGTCACCATCACCGGCTCGCAATACGAATGATCCACTCAAATAGAAATAACCGGTGGGAAAAGTGATGAGAACTCTCCGGTCTTCCACGGTCTGAATGAGCCACATAGAGTTAATGCGAACGGATGAAATTGATATGGTGGCTGTTTCATTGGCACTCAGGAATACTTCATCAGTACCTGTCAGAAAAACAATGGGAATGATAGAAATAGGTCAAACATTTCAAAGGGAAAGGCTACGATGTCTACATGTATATTAATAAAACATTGTTGCAGCTGACTCATGTCACTATAGATTCAGATTAACACGAAAACCTCGTGTACAAAACGTGCAATGAAAATTCACCGTAGGCCAAGGCCTACTTGAATTACATTCAATCTTTGCAAATTCACATTGCAAACCAGCCATTTGCAGTTTATGTAACACATTTCCTTTAATTTGCGCTCCCATGGAAAATGTACCATCCTTCACTAAGTAATATGGCCTTAAGTGTAGGTGTACTCCTGTCTGAAAAAAAACTGGCGAATTAGGAATGTGAAGTAAGCTACTGTGGGGCTACTAGTGAACCAGTTTATGACAATTCTTTTCTTGCTAATTGGCAGCAGTGTAACTAGGGTCAACTAATTATGGGCACCCCCAACCGGGAGGTATAGTCACGACACTGCTAACTGATGAATTCTAATAAAATATTAAAGGGGTCTTACCGCAGCCTAGTTCATCGCTTCCATCCCAACAGTCCGGCACATCATCACACTGCCAGGAAGAGGCGACACACACAGAATGCCCACAGTCAAGTTGGTCAGGAGAACATGTCAAATTGTCTACAACAAAGGGGTTAAAATGAAAGGAGCACATTGCGGTGGGAAAATCGCCGTGTACACATTTTAAAATGCTAGGCTCATATGAAAAGTTCCGAGTTTAAAAAAATATGGATTTTATACAAATTATTAAAAAGAAGCAAAATACCCCTCCCCTGTACGGTTTTACTGCGCTAATGCGAGCAACTCCCGAGTATTCAGCTTGTAATTGTATATTTGGATTTTTGCCAGATACAAGGATTTCAGCTATCAGCTATCTCAAGATTTAATCTCCTTGGTGTAGTTTATTCTTGGATGAATGCCCAACCCTAACGGAAACCAATTTACTTGATGAACGACGTTAGGTCTGCCTGATACGAACCATGGAGGAAGGAATAACCGTTGCCTAAACACATTAAGTGTATAAGATTGGTTTATGTCCATTAAAGGAACCTTCTTTTAATCATTAAAATTGCGCACAAATAATGGAATTCCTGAATTGTGGGACTGTTCACGTATATATTGGGGTGTATGTGCGGCCGCACTTGTTCTACATAACGCCCAGAGGACAGACACACAAAGGGAGAGCAACAGATCCTTTCAGTCCCCAGGAGTTGGTTCTTCTGTTCAAAACGGTCCTCTGTGGTAGGTTCGTGTGCTTAGTATGGGAGAGTGTTATATTACAGGGACAAAGGAAAACACAAAGCATTGTCCTCGGGAGTATAGTAAAGCAAGAGTCGGTGGCTTATGTGTGTTTGTGATGGGGAAGTGGCACACAGGCCATCGTATGCACTTGGCTCACCGACCACTTCCCCCAGTATACCCTGGATTTTAAAAGGCAAACATCATTTCATGCATGCTTCAAGAGGCATTAGGTCCTGAAGTCCCCGAAAATGTCATTTTTTTTCTAAATTATTGTATGTTACTATTTAAAAGGTCTAGTTGAAAGGAAACTAACCTAATCGTTTCCGAGAAAAGACCACCCCCTCAAAAAAATCCCGGTTGTTTACATCGGACACGACAGAGTACGCATAGGTTTTTCCTGTCGTTTTCATTCAATGTACGATACACGTTGTGTGTGTCACAAAATTCACACACAGCGCCAATTCTTAAATTCTAACATGTTACAACACTGCAAAAAACTTCTGTTTAGCAAGTGCAACCTCAAGAGCTGCATGAAAAGGTCAGGCCATCTTTTGAAAAGTTCACAACTTTTCCAGGACAAAGAAAGATTGAATTATGGCTTACCAGAGGCAGGTACACTGAATGCCGTCAGCAGAAACCCTGAATATCTGACACTTCCGTCAGCAGTGAACCGAAGCCACATGGTATTTCCAGCTGACAGCAGATCGGGCGGGTTTCTGTTCCCACTCCACTGGAAGAACACATTGTGGTCGCTACTGTTGCCATCACCGGCCTGGAAGACGTCATACCAATACTCGGTATAAAACAAGGTAAAGGAAATGCGGATCTTGCGAGCTTCTTCGGTTTGGATGATCCAAGTTATCTGGATGTCGTTGACGTAATAGTCCGGGTATCTAGTCGAGGCAAGCTCAGCTGTGTCGTATGCCCCAATGTAGACGATACGGTCCTCGTCTGTGTATTAAAATTCAAATGAAATAAAAATGCATTAGTAATTGCTATGACTTTGTACGGACGGTACGTACGGTGCTGTGTGAAACGCTTGCATAGTTGGTACCCACGCTATTTTCACCATGTTTTCACACATAAATGCGATCAGCGAACTAGCAGACGATCAGCTGTTTCGAGTACGCCACATGCACGTGAGTTTCGTTCAATTGTTATGATTGTTGTGTTTACTGCTGTTTGTTTTCGTGATTTAAAATCAAATTCAAAAGATTTCAAGGCATGGATAAAACAAACAATGACTGCTGTGATGTAAAATATGACGTTTTGAACAACCGAGGGGCGCATAGAAACCTGAGGCGCAATCAGACAGATAGATATCAGACAGACAGACATCAGACAGACAGCCTGACAGACAGACAGCGTAGGATCTTTTAATATAGGATGTTGATTTATTGTTGTTTTACTATTACAGTAAATCACTAATGAGCAACCTTAAATTTACCCACAAAATGTTTGCAATGAGAATTGTTGGTTTCACAATTTGAACAGACATTCCCTAGACTAAAAAGTATGTGACGTCACATCAATAGCGCCCTCAGAATAAAGGAAAAGTATGGAACATTTTAAAGAGCACTAAAAAAGTTAAACAAAAGTGAGGTCAAAACAGTTTCATACCATAGGAATGAAAAAGTTGCAAAAAATATTTTCCAGTCAAAAATTCTTGTCATGATCTCTTATGTTTGCATTATCTGACTCTTCATTACCGCAATTTAGTTCATCCGTTCCTTCAAAGCAGTCAGCTTCACGGTCACACTGCAGGGTGCCACGGATGCAGTAATGTCCACAGTCAAATTCATTAAGAGAACAGGTCAACATTTCTGAAAAATAAAGCAAGACAGAAATCCTGAAAACGTGGGCAAGGTCAATGACAGGGGGCAACTGTAAAACTATTTTGAAAAGAACAGCCAGGTTTTCTCAGAAGGAACACCCATAAAGACGCCAGACATATATTTTTCACAGGTGGAAGTTGCCTCACATTATTTTTTGGCTTATTAAATGGGAACTCCGGCAAATGCAAGAGAAGAACACATTGGTAGATCATTAATCAAATCCTTAATCAAAGTATTACAAAGACATAATTTAATTTTGTGCCATTAAACTGGACACTGACTCTTGTCAAATGAGTGCACTGGTCCAACGGAGATAAAATACGCATCATACAATAATCTTGCTTGACCAACTTTTCAATCTTTCCGGCAAAGTTTTGTTTCCACAGACATGTCTTTAGCAAGATCTCTACCTATAACAATAATTATCACTTATTTTTATTCAGTTAAATTTAATTTGTGGTTGGCCGGTTTTAAACACTCTGTTTAAGACCGGTTGGAGTCTGAATAATGATTATTACCCGAGCCGAAGGGTAAAAGAAAATCAAAACTTTTGACTTGGGATAAACATTAAAACCTTTCGGTTCAAACGCCAAAACAAGTCAAAAATGATATATTTCCAAGGATTTCGTTCAACAAAACACCTCTCTAGCTATGCAATGGTAAGGATCTCTCGTGAACAACTCTTTATCTGGAGATTGGCGAGCGCGTTGCGCGTACTGCGTGATGTGGCGCAGAGCGCAGCTTTGGCGGTGCAGTGTGAGTTTATGACTATAAAATACTGACTCACTGGTAGTATTGCGCATGCCTACGTGAGGATTGTGAACGTTCAATTATACAGTATACTGGCACCGGATTTCATGGGAGTCCAAATTTCATGTGACACTTGAGAAGTGTTGAAGACCAGCCAACCGGTCTTTATCAACCGTTTGAAACCGACTATACAGGGTGAGTAAAAAAAAAAAATCCCAAATGTCAGGACCATTTTATTTTCAGTGAAGTTCATGTATCACTTTCAAAATCTAGGATATGAATGAAAGCCCTATTTATAAGCTATCTTTTAAGTACAAGAATCATGCAAATCACTCATGTACTTTTTAAAGTTACGGAATTCTAAACACAAACGATGTCCACGGTTCACAAAAAGGTAAGTGTTCTTTCAAACGAAAACAATTCACATTGGGAAGAATGTATAAATTGTTTTTGTTGTGCTGAAAGAGCACTTACCTTTTTTGTGATCTGTGGACAGAACTTTAAAACGGTGTTTGTGTTCCAAACTCGGTAACTTTAAAAAAAGTACATAAGTGATTTGAATGATTGTTGTACAAAAAGAAAGCTTATGAATTGGGATTTCATATCTTAGATTTTGAAAGTGCTACATGCAGAACTTCCAAAAAAAAAAATGGTTCCGACATTTAGCGTTTCCCGAACGTAATGACAGCGAACTGGAGAATATTGTCACCGTTTTCACGAAGAGCCACATATGTCGATTTTGAAGAAAAAGCGTTTTCGAGATAATCGCAACAGAAGTTTCTCATATTTTAAAACTGCAAAAAATACCACTTTGTAACAACTTTGTGAAGCAAGGAAACTATCACGCTATTCTGTGTGAGCTGAATTTTTACATGAACCCGGTAATAAGACTTAATTCAGCAGTTAATTGGTGGAAATTAATTAGTAAAGATATGTGGCTCTTCGTGAAAACGCAAATTCAGGTTTCCGACATATTGGCCCTTTCTGTTAAATGTGTATTTCCATAGGCGCGCTTGAGTACGCGCGCGCAGCTGAAAATGTAACAAAGATATGTGGCTCTTCGTGAAAACGCAAATCTCATTTGACCTACTTTTACGTATTTCCGTGCAATGGGTTTTGTACGCGTTCAAAGGGCCAAAATGTATGTGGCTCTTCGTGAAAACGCAAAATTCATTTTTCGATATTTTGGCCCTTTGCAACATTAATGTAACTTGGAAATTAATGATGTTTTGCTTACAGAAACATGTCAAAATGGTTAAGTATATTGTTTAAAAGCAGGATATTGAAAAAAATCAAAATCGAAAAAATGGTAATTTTTGACATATGTGGCTCTTCGTGAAAACGGTGACGATATTGTGGACAGTAAAAATGCCTCCACTACTAAAAAGTAGTCCACAATGCGGTATAAACTCTTTTGAGTTACTGTATTGCAAATGAACTGAACTTTTCTGACTTGGATATTGAGCAATATTCTTCTGCGGAGTTAGGAAAGTTAAAGGTATACTGCAATGAGAACATTTGGCAAATGAACATGTATGAGGTATAGTAAAACAAATATAATATGGTTTAGTTCGGGTTGACAGTCGATATTAGCTCCCCTCGGTATTGGAAGTTGACAAACTAGGAAAAGGGTTTGTCAACTTCCAACACCTCGAGGAGCTAATACCGACTGTCCACCCTCAAACCATGCTATAGTGAGGATTCTGAATGTTCAACCAATAACATGGTAAAAGACACTGCATTTTACAGAGTTCAATTATCATGTGACACCGTGTTTAGTTTGTGTCCAAAATCGAGTTCATAGTTGTACATTTGGTTATAAATGGGAATGAGAAAGACAGAGATAGAGAGATGAAGAGAGAGGGAATGGGAGGGAGGGGGAAAAAGCATGAAGCTTAATTCACATTTACAATTTATACTTCATTAGGGCCTATACAGGCTTAACATGTATACCTTTAACGGTGCCTTAACATGCCACCACCATCCACAAATCTAAACATGCATCTTGACTCAAACATGGGAGAAAAGTCGGTACCAGTGTTCAGAAATGTGTTTAAACTCTAAAACACAATTATTAAATGTGAACATTGATGTAACCAACACAAAGAGGAGTAGCTGAATCAACAGACATACATGGGATATGGGATATGGCCATTTAATCGCAAAATTTTATGATTAATCTTATTATTATTTTCTGTTGTTGGTGCTCTGTTTTCACTTTATAACATCTTGATAGAATGGGTAAACAAACAAAAAAAATTGTTGGTCCCAAGTTTATCAGTATTCGTGTTCTCTGGGGGTATATTGCTTTGAGGACACCCCCAAATCCTGTGACTTTGCCCTGCTTAGGGATAAAAATGAGTTCCAAACTCATACTTAGTTTAAAGATACACACTTTCGTTGTATTTAAAAAACTGTCGGAGAACACAAGCTTTAATTTGTGTGGTAGATAAGTTTTCTGTCTTAAAAATTGGGCTCACCGGGAATAACTGTTGCCTAAACACATCAAGTGTATAAGATTGGTTTATGTCCAGTAAAGGAACCTTTTTCTAATCATTAAAATTGCGCACAAGTAATGAAGATCCTGAATTCTGGGACCGTTCACGTATGTGCGGCCGTACTTGTTCTACAAGGGAGAGCAACAGATCCTTTTAGTCCTCGGGAGTTGGGTCTTTTGTTCAAAACGGTCCTCTGTGGTAGGTTCGTGTGCTTAGTATGGGAGAGTGTTATATTACAGGGACAAAGGAAAACACAAAACATTGTCCTCGGGAGTATAGTAAAACAAGAGTGGGTGGCTTATGTGTGTGTGTGATGAGGAAGTGGCACACAGGCCATCGTATGCACTCGGCTCACAGACCACTTCCCCCAGTATACCCTGGTTTTTAAAGGCAAAAATCATTTCATGCATGTTTCAAGAGGCACCAGGTCCTGAAATCCCCGAAAATGTCATTTTCTTTATTGTGTGTTACTATTTAAAAGGTCTAGTTGAAAGGAAACTAACGTAATCGTTCCCGAGAAAAGACCAAAAGAAAACCCACCCAAAAATAAACTCCCGTTTTTTTTACATCGGACACGACAGAGTACGCATACGTTTTTCATGTCATGTCCATTCAATGTACGATACACGTCGTGTGTGTCACAAAATTTACACACAGCGCCAATGCACAGCAAAAGCAAAAGGCGTACCCTTTACAACTGGAATCACAACTAGCATGAACAGCCAATTTTTTTGCAGCCAAGAATAACACAAAACGCCCAGTTTTTAAATGTTAGTTGTGTTGATGTGTATATTCTTCTTTTAGATATTCATCCGATTAACATCATATCGTTCAAAGCGCATTTTCTAGCCCAATAGGGCGTATTCCAGGACGCAGCTCCCTTTTAACCTGTGCGTTTGTTTATGGTGAAAATCAAGGACGCACACGTGCAACATCATCGGTGAATGGAGGACAGGAACCAAATCGAGGTCGCCCTTGATTAGGAAACGTATACAAAACCAATGAGAGCTGTTGCTAACAAAGGAAAAGGGACGAGGAACAAAAGGAAAATCCTCGTGTTTACACCATAAACAAACGTACATGTACATGTGTGAATTGATTCTTAAATTCCAACATATAACAACACTACGAAAAACCTCTTTTTAGCAAGCGCAACCTCAAGAGCTGCATGAAAAGGTAAGGGCATCTTTTGAAATGTTCACAACTTTTCCAGGACAAAGAAAGATTGAATTATGGCTTACCAGAGGCAGGTACACTGAATGCCGTCAGCAGAAACCCTGAATATCTGACACTTCCGTCAGTAGTGAACCGAAGCCACATGGTATTTCCAGCTGACCGCAGATCGGGCGGGTTTCTGCTCCCACTCCACTGAAAGAACACATTGTGGGTGCTAATGTTGCCATCACCAGCTTGGAAGACGTCATACCCAGACTCTGTAGAAAACTGGGCAAAGGAAATGCGGATCTTGCGAACTTCTTCGGTTTGGATGATCCACGCTATCTGGATGTAATTGATGTACGAGTTCGGGTATCTAGTCGATGCAAGCTCAGCTGTTTCGGATGCCCCAATGTAAACGATACGGTCCTCGTCTGTGTATTAAAATTCAAATGAAACTATACTTATGTTTGTGGACAAACACAGGGCTGTTTCGCTAATTTTTTTGTTACATGTCACATGTAAAGTTTCAAGTATAAGTTCCATCCAGGAAGGATGTGTAGTTCTGTTGCTAATAACTGGTGGATATAATATGTGATTACATTCCCACGGGGCTTTGAATTTTGACGTCACATGTGACGTGATGACGTCATGATGACGTCACATCAATTTTCATCTATAACTATATTTTTGTTTGTAAATAACAACTTATCCATAGCATACATCGTTCAAAGCAAGTTGACATCTTTCACCAATTTTAAATAACAAGGTACTTCCGGTTTCAACCGGAAGGGTCACGTGATTTTGCACATAATATACAAAAAATCCAAAACCCTGGGTTATTCTATCGATTGATTTTATATTGATTTTCAAAGATCTGTTAATCTTTAACGTAGCGTCACGTGACCCATGATGCCGTCATCGTGAAGTCACTTCAATTTTCATCTATAACACATCCCGGTCTAGGTAGATACGAACTTTCAACCCCATTGGACGTGTAGTTCAGGAGATATAGACCTCCAAAATATGTTTATTTTATATAACGTCATATGTCACGTGATGACGTTATCATGACGTCAAGATAACTGTCATCTATAAGACATCCCGGTCTAGGTACATACCAACTTTTAAATCGGACATGTAGTTCTGGAGATATAGCCCAATCTGTCAGATCTAGCCGAATTCTGCTACAAAATTGTCACAACAGAGAAATCACATATAATGTAACGTCACGTGACACGTGATAACGTCATGATAACGTCAATGTTCTGGGATCAACTGCAGATGCTGGTCTAAGTGTGTGCCGAGTATAAAGGCAATCGGATTGATTTTAGTGGCCAAAGTGCCGGTAATAAAAATACGTGTACAAATGCTATGGGCAAAAATGACTGGAAAAAAATAGAGCTGTATGTCTGTTTGAAAACAGAACACGGGGCTTTTTCGCAATTAACAAATGTTTATTTCGTTGGTTCTTTTGCAGTCACAGAGTGCTTCATGCAGTTAAAGGTTGTTCAATATGCTTAGAATATTTCCTAAAATATAATTTTATCACATGACGCCACATGCCCTGCAATGATGTCATCTCGACAACACTTGTCAATGCACATTTTGTCATTTCAGTGTTTTTGGTTTGAACCAAGTTCAAAATCAATCCCATGAAAGGAAGAAATCGATTTCGGAAGCAGAATAAAATTATAAATATTAAAAAAATTATAAAAAAATCAAACGATGACGTCATGGTGACGTCACTTCGGACTTTGCATAATAGTACCATTATCTATCTACCCACCAAGTTTCATGACGATCGGACCTTTCCTTATATGTGTTTTGAAATTTTTTTTTGATTACGTCACACCTTTTAAAATAAATTTTGTGCAAATAACTATTTCCTAGCAAACAAAATACAACTAAAGCTATGTCTCTTCGAACAGAACATAGGGCTTTTTCGCATTTAACAAATGTTTATGTTATGTTTATCCTTTTTGCAGTCACCTTTGAGAGTGCTTGATTCAGTTTAAGGTTGTTCGAAATGCTTAGAATAATTCCAAAAAATAAAGCTTTATTACATGACTTCACATGCCCTGCGATGACGTCATCTTCACAACACATGTCAATGCACATTTTGTCATTGTGGTTTTGGTTTGTACCAAGTTTGAAGTCAATCCAATGAAAGGAAGTTTACAATTTTGGAAGCAGAATTCAGTTTTGAAATAAAACAAATATCATAAAAAATCAAATGATATTGCCATCGTGACGTCACTTCGGACTTTGCATACTAGTACCATTATCTACCTACCCACCAAGTTTCATGACGATCGGACCTTCCCTTATATGCGTTTTACAAAATTGCATTTGTGATGACGTCATGATGACGTCACACACTTTTCAAAATTGTGTTCATATACCTACTACTAGTCCAGCGGATATGTGAAAAAATTGTGCACTTTTGCATAAAAGCATGAAACTTGGCACAGATGTTTACATTCATGCAAGAAAATGTTTTAGATGTGGAGCCATCGCAAGTTGACCCTTTTAGGGGCGTGGCATCCATTTAAAAAGGGGGGCCGGACTTGTCGTGCCCGCAGTGAAAACGGTTGTTCCCACTTGTCACAAAAGCAGGAAACTTCACAAAGACATAATCGTATAAATTATAAGTGTTTTCAGATTCGGAACCACCACAAAAGTACCTTTTTGGGGGCGTGGCGCCATTTGAAAATAAGGGGGGGGGGCAATTATTATGCCCACCTTGGGAAACATTGTGCCCATATTTTCATGAACGAATAAAACGTTCCACAGACGTTTATATTCATTACAAGAAAACAATCCAGATGTAGAGCCATCTCAAACAGACCTTTTAAGGGCGTGGCAACCATATTAGAAAATGGGGGCGGGGTTTTCATTTTGCCCACCATGGAAATATTGTTCCCACATTCATAGGGAAATGAAACTTTCCACAGACATTGACATTCATGAGAAAACAAATTCAAGATGTGGAGCCTTTGCGAACACACCCTTTTAGGGGCGTGGCAGCCATATTGAAAAAAAGGGCGGGTTTCTCATTATGCCCACTATGGGAAAAATTATAAATAAATCTCATAAACAAATCAAGCTAATTCCCACAGACATTAATATTCAGGACAAAAATTCAGACGTGGAGCCATAGCAAACACACCCTTTTAGGGGCATGGCAGCCATAGTAAAATGGGGGGGGGGTAGTCATACCGGTAGTTACCCATGCTCTTTGGTGTAAGTTATTACCAAATAATATCATATAGCTTATGGGCCAATCAACATTATAAGAAATCAACAACAAAACATCAAAATTGCAATTGTGGGCACAGTTAGTAGGCCACTTACACCTCTAAAAGGAGTTTGCTGTGGCTCCACATCAGAATTTATTTCTTTCACCAAGGTTTACTCATTTATGAAAGATAGGCACACATTTTGATGGTGGGCAAATGATTAGTAGCATCCCCAATTTTTTTTTATATATGCCACGCCTCTAATAAAGGGTAAGTCTGTGATGGCTTCACATTTGAAAAAAGAAAGATTCTCATAAATATATTGTCTGTGTGGAGTTTAATCCGTTTATGAAAGGTAGGCACAACTTTTTTATAGGGGCATCATGACTACCCCCCCATTTTACTATGGCTGCCACGCCCCTTAAAGGGTGTGTTTGCGTTTTCTCGTGAATTTTAATACCGATGGGAATTAGCTTCATTCGTTTATGAGATGTGGGCACATTTTCCCATGGTGGGCATAATGAGAACCCGCCCCCCTTTTTCAATATGGCTGCCACGCCCCTAAAAAGGGTGTGTTTGCGATGGTCCCATATCTTGAATTTTTTTCTCATGAATGTCAATGTCTGTGGAAAGTTCCATTTCTCTGTGAATGTGGGAACAATATATCCATGGTGGGCATAAGGAAAACCCGCCCCTTTCTTCCTGATATGGTTGCCACGCCCCTTAAAAGGTAAATTTGCGATGGCTCCACATCTTAAACATTTTTATGGCATGAATATGAACATCTGTGCCAAGTTTCACGCTTTTATGCAAAAGTGCACAATTCATCGATATTTTGTCACAAAAAATTATTTTGAATTGTTGCGTTCATGAGATATGGCTTAAGGTCCAACAATTCAAAAAGTCATATCAAATCGCACGATGATGTCATCATGACATCACCTCAATTTTTACCTTTAACACTTCCCGGCCTACCTACATACCGAGTTCAACCCAATCGGACTTACAGTTCTGTAGATATAGAGCTTCAAAATATTCACGTTTGTGATGACGTCACGTGACCCATGATAACGTAATCATGATGTCACTCTTCGGGACACAACTTTGCCATAAGGACAATGCATGTGCCTTATTTGAATGATGTATGACAAAGTACAATGCCAGAAGTGTCATGTACAAGAATCATGTGCATTGTCTATGAGATTTTTTTAAATAAAGCTTTGACACATGACGTCACGTGCCCTGCGATGACGCCATGTTGAAAACCATTCTCAATGCACACTTTGTCATTGTAGTTTTAATATGAACCAAGTTTAAAGTCAATCCGATGAAAGGAAGTGTGCGATTTTGGATGCAGAATGTACAAGTACATTGTGGATGTGTCACAATTTAATTGCCCATAAATAAACACCAGATGACGTCATCGTGACGTCATCATTACACAATGTTGTTTGAATTAGGGTCTTTGCTTGGACAAAGAGTGGTGTAAATGAATTACTGGCAAAGAGTTGAAAATGCCCTTTGAAAATCAAAAAAAAAATTATTAAATTTCTGTGTACAAAGTCTATGGGAAAAATTAAATATTCAAAAATCTATTATAAATTAGTCGATGACGTCACTATGACGTCAATCTTTGGGACACATCTTTGCTATAGGGACTATGCTTAAGCAAACTTTGAATGATGTATGACAAAGATTATTGCCAAAAGTGGTGAGCAGAAAAACCGTGTACAAAGTCTATGGGATTTAGGCGACAAAAGAAGAAGAAAGAAAAACTAGAGGTCTATGTCTGTTTGCAACAGAACATAGGGCTTTTCCGCATTATGATTTTTTTTAATCAATAATACCCTGAATATGCATGAACATAAAATCTGTCAAAGTTAGCCGAAAATCGGCTAAAATGGTCACTGTGGACAGGATTTGACCTCGGCAATATGATGTATGTGCGTGTGTACAAGGTCTTTGCTTGGACAAAGAGTGGTGTAAATAAATTACTGGCAAAGAGTCCAAAACGCACTTTGAAAATCCACAAATATTTTGTAAAGTTTTTGATGACGTCATCCTGACGTCACTTCGAACTTTGCATACTAGTATGATTAACTACCTACCCACCAAGTTTCATGACAATTGGACCTTTCCTTATATGAGTTTTGAAAAATCGCATTTTGATGACGTCATGATGAC